AGGCATGGACCTGGCCTTTGTAAGTAACCAACATCTTTGCGGGGTGGACTATTCCATGTCTGACTCCCAGCCTGCGCAGCTCCTGGCGTATTGGGTCAAATTGTTTCCTCTTCTGATGGATTCCTGTCGCCAGATCTTGATAGAACCACACCTGCTGGTTTTTGTACTGGATTTCTTTCTTGTTCTGTGCTGCCGTAATAACTGCCACTTTGCTTTTGTAGCTAAGGAACCTCATGATGAGAGTTCTGGGCCGTGTCTCCGTGTCCCCCTTTGGACCGATGCGGTGCGCCCTCTCCAGTGCTACGCTGCAGCTCTGTGTTTCCAAACCCACCACCTCCGGGATCCACTTTTCCAGGAAAACACAAGGGTCCGGTCCCTCTGCCCCCTCCGGAAGGTTAATCAGTCTGAGATTATTCAGCCTGGTTCTAGTTTCCAGGTCGAGGATTTTATCTTCCAGTGCTGCTTTATGTTCTTTTAGATCCATAACGTCGGCCTGCAGGCTTTGCAGCTCGTCCTCTGCTCCTGATATCCGCTGCTCGGCCCGGGTCACTCGCTCAACACAGTCATTGGTTTCTTTCCGTACCTTTTCAATTGCCTCCATTAGGGCTGCAGCTATCGAATGTTTTTGTAATAGAATACTCTATCGAATCTTTTATCTATTAATCGAGTACTCTAATAAATTACTCTTTTGCGTTTTTAAACCATTATATCAAATAGCATGTTATAAAATATGAAAGACCTCTTGAAATGAGAAAGCAATTGCCAGTTATTCTTCGTTTTATTCAAAATTAGTTTTCAAAACTTCAGCACTTCAACTGTAAACAAATGCGAGCGGCTGCGGCCCAAACAGCACCAGAACCGCTCACGGCGCATGCGCAAGCATGGCTCGCCAGCTGTTTCCCTATTAACACACGTTCGTTTTAATTTCTACACTTTTTTGTCTCACACTAACAAGGATTGTCTAAAGCAATCCTGTTTGCCGTGGTTAAGTCAAATTATACTGATCACAAAACATTTATTTACTTTCTTTCGTTTTCCTCCGCCACTCATAAATACCTGTGTCCTGCAGCAATCCTGAGGGACAACGGACATCAATAACAACACAGTAAAAAGTCCGACGTGTTGTAAAAACTGCTATTTTTAGCACATTTTAAGTCCGACGTGTTGCTACCAGATGTACGGTGTGAGCTGAAACTGAGTGCTACAAATGAAAAAGTTGCACAGTGTCTGCAGAATATATAGAAATACAGGCTAAAATGCATTATCTTGTAGAGGCTCCCAGTCCGCTTGCAGAAGTGACATTTACATGTGGATGTTTCCTGGTCAGATTGCAGCATCGAGGAATGTGGTGTGGTAGGCTAAATCCATTTTACAGTATTTACACTGGACTACGTTTTCCGCCTTACGACGTGAAAAATGGTCCCACACCTTTGACATTTTGTGTATTTTTCGCACTCCACCGGGGTCCACATTGTCCGCCATGGCTTAAAAGAAAGTTAAGTTACATTCGCTACTCGCGTGTGCATTCAGTGCAGTGTGTATGTGCGTCACTTATTTTGGTCCGGGTGAAACATGACCACGGGCGATTGCAAAGCCATGAATGAATTAAACATGAATTAAACGAAGCTTCGAGGCAGAGAATTTGACTCGAGGATTTTTTGTACTCGAATTATTCGAGGTATTCGAGGAATCGTTTCAGCCCTAGCCTCCATGACATTATCCAGTCTCGCTGAGAATTCAGATTTTAATGAGTTAATTGCTGCTAGAATCTCCTTTGCTTTCTCTTCATTCATTACCACAGTTGCTGCGTCACTCGTAGCCATTTCCTTAGCTTTTGGTGTGTCGCTGCTAATCCGGAGGTCCTTCAGTTTAGGCTGTTTGGTTGCTGACTTAAAGGAGACATAACATGCTTTGAAGTTATTCCTTTTTACATCTAAATCCTTCAGTTGGGATCTAAATACAGTCGAGCTGCAGTTCTTTGGTCTGATTTCCTCATTATTGTTGCTCTACAGACCCTCATCTACCCCTGTTCTCAGGAGAGTCTTGAGAACGAGCCGTTTTTGGGTACTGTCTCTTTAAATCTGGAGGAGGAGCTGTAAACCCCGCCCCTCTCCATAGTGCAGACCTGTACTCTCCTCCCCCAGTCGGACTTTGTAGTTCTATAGAGAAATCGTTATTTAGCATAGCAGAAACATTATATTAGCATTTTTAAAACGTGGGGAGAGTTGTTCATCAAGCTGTTTCAAGGCTGCTAACTCTCTCATGCATTTGTCTGTAGTCACACACACACACACATACACACACACACACACACACGTCACGGCCGACGGAGGGACAAGCGAGCAGGCATGCGCGCACACACACACACACACACACACACACACAAGCAATGCTGCTTGCTTATTTATTTCTATAAAAATGTTTTAAAAAATGATACAGCTCATTAAAACACCATTAAAAGAATATATTTTATTAAGATCTCTCTCTCTCTCTCTCTCTCTATATATATATATATATATATATATATATATATATATATATATATATTTATAAATAATTTTATAAGTAGCCTTATTTTATATTGGGTGTCTTAATGGCTGAAAATGGATAAAAAGCAGTTACATTTTAATTTAAAGATTTGAGATTCTAGTGACAAATAAATTACATTTCTCCAAATGTTCTTAATGTGATCATTATAATTCTAATGCTTACAACTTTGTTTTTATTGTCTGCAATGCATAGCCTATATCTTTATTAAATGTGCGTTTAGCTGTAACGTGGTAATTCTCTCTAATGTGTACACAGAGGTGGACATCAGTGCTGCAGTGAAATTCCCAAGATCAGTCTGCTTTGCTAACAAATATAGTTAAGTCTTTGCATTCTAAATAAATACCGTTAGGTGAAAACATCAGTAGGCATTGAGTTATTGATAAAATCCCTAACAGCCAGAATGGAAGAAGAGCATGCTGGGTCATCCTGGATCAGAGCCTGTTCTGTGTATTTACCTACAGAATGCAATAAATGTCTACAAGGCTGAGTTTGGACCATTACATCTGAAAGAAAACATACAATCAGTGATTTTTTAAATTGTTTACATTAATATACAAATTTTCTAAGTATTAACCTCACAGCAAATAAGTAGAACAATATGATAAACAGGCTTTAGTAGTTAAACAGGCGTTGTGCACACAGGTGCTTTGTGTCCAGGTGCTGGTGTTTCTAAGTCTCAGAGTTCCTGTCCTCCTGCCGTCTTCTGTTAGCCTAGTGAACTAGACCAAATCCTTGCTTTGCAAAGTTTGGTCTAGGCATGCTCCATTGGAACCTCAGCAGCTCCTACCAGGACTCTGGCTGGCCAATCACAGCTCTCTAAAGGGGTTCCAAACACATAAAGAGCTGTGATTGGTCCATAATGGTGGGCCAATCATAGTGCTCTATCTGCTTAGTGAACAAATCACAGAGCTTTATCCACTTTGTGGGCCAATCAGGGCACTCTATATGCCTGGTGGGTGGGATGATGCAACAGAGTGAAACAAGAGTATGTCACATTCATTGTCCAGTGGAATGCGGAGATCATTTGAAAGACAACGGTAGAACCCGCCCCACAACCGAGAGCCGTCAATGGAGCATGGCCAGACTAAATAATAAATTTATTTAGTCTGGCTTGCCAGGCTAGTCTTCTGTTGTCCTCAGGATAGGAACTGATGTTTCGTGATGAGGGAAGGGCAGTATGTGGGCTTCAAACTGGTCCTCGATAACAGTGGGAGACCTCCGTTGTCTGAATACTGAGACCAGAGGGTTGGTGAGATGCAGATCTTCTCTACCTCATCTAGAAATGGAGTTGGGTGGGTCTCCTTCCGCAGTAGGTGACGTGAAGCTCCAACATCTGAACGTTCTGTGTTCCTTAGAGGAGAAGAAAAGTAACATTAGCAAGCTGGCTAAATTATTTTTTACTAGCATTTCAAGGTCTTGGAGAAGCAGATCTTCACTTACCTAAACATCAGACCAGTTTGTCCCAGCTGAGCTCATCAGGGCGTTAGTTTGACAGCCTGTCAGTGAAACACGGCTCCAGCCTTCTGGATGTGGACTCTAAAAAGCAAAGGAGCATTTTTACTTTTGTTTTAATTATTTTACAGCCGATTTTATCAGCTTTCCGACGCTCACGCTCTGCTCATACAGACGGTGAGCTTTGCTGCGTCTGACTGATGCAGAGTTAGTTTTTATATCTGCAGTGAGACAAAAAACTAACCTCACTCCACTCAGAGATCGTTCTTTAAAACTATTAAATCCACTGCGTTGACGCACTTTAATGGCTTTGTCACGCTGCATTTTAGCTGATATGGGACTTTATTTACTGGATGCTAAGATTACATCACACTCACGTAGAATAACACACAGGCTCTCTGCTGTTACAATCAGTGGAAGGTTATCATCTTGTGTAAAAAAGGCGTTGATCAGAAATCCCAGATGACGTTTTATTCCACGAAAATCGGCCAAATCCACATTAATCTGGGTGCTAACTTTACTAGCATATTGTGCTAGCGATAGCAAGTCGGATGCTAACGCTTTAGTGCTGCTAATGCCCGTAAATCTAAAGTAAAGTTTGTCGACATTTTAGAGTGATATGAAGCTTACCGCTCTGCCGCTGTGTCCCATTGCTGCCACACTCAGAAGGAAATGACTCCTTCTAGATAGATGAAGCCCTCGGTACTTAGTCACTAGCCTGGGAGACACGAACGCGCGCACACACACACACACACAGAAACACGCTACTTTTTTTCTTTTTTTTTTTTAGCTGTTGTGTCATCAGCTTCTGGGTTTTAAATACTGCCACACCACCCATCCTTAAAACGAGGAACAGTTTTGAGCTGTGTGTGGCTAAAATAACCAGACATTCTGCATTTTTTCAATAGGACTACAAAAAATCTTAGCGAGAAGAAAAAATGGCGGATTGGCTCTGTGTTTAGCCGAGGGCCATGACCATATTTGGTAGTTATCTGACGTAATAGATAATTAGAAAAACTGAACGGGTGGACAAATATGCCCAAAACTTAATTACTAAATATCTAAATAGCAACTCCAGTGAATAATATAAGCCTTTTTGCTCACTTAGACACTTAAAATGTGAAACACATTGTGTTAATGGATAAAAAAGTGGGTTTTTCATGTTATGTCTCCTTTAACCGCTGGGTCTGTCTTACGTGTTGTTGGCATCTTAAAGAACTTCAACCTCTGTTATTCTTGTCTGAGTGGAGCTATTCTCAATGCTTTAAAGAAGAATTCGTGGCGGAGCCGTGGTGCGCCCGTCCTCTCACATGGCAGCCATAACCGGAAGTCCTCACTGATTTTCTTTTTAAACTCAAAAAGGTTTCTATGTTGTTGAAAGTGAAAATGGGATTTTATTAATGAACTCAGAGTACTTTTTAATAATCCAGATTTCTGTGCAAAGTGATTCAACACATTCTCACACCCGAAGCGGCTAAAACTGACACGGGGTGACCAAGCGTTTGTTTCAGATGCGTTGGGGCTCCCAAAATGTCTGGAGGCGATGCGCTGGGCCAGAGCGTCGCTTTTCGACGCCCGCGGTAAAATGGGAGATTTCACTCAATTGTGACCTTTAGCCTCTTGCAATTTTACCTTCCCCTCACCCAGGCACGCAGATAGGATGGGGTACGGGGGGATCTGTCCCCCCAGATTCAGATCAACCCCGATCCGTCCCCCGCATTAAAGGAGCATGGGGCAGGATGAAGAAAAGAAACTCATTAGCGATGCACTCGGCGCTGTGAGTAACTGCAGCCCGGCACGAGAGCGCGCACAAACTCTTCTTCACTAGAAAAAAAAAAGTTTCAATGATGTACGGCCAGAGCGCGGCTCGAACAAGGCACCATGTCGAGCGATGAAGTAAGTAACATTGTTACTTTAGTCTTAATATTTGTAAAATTCCATGACAACATTAGCATTTGAATTTAGCCATGACACTCGTGATGTAAAGCAAGTGCTCCTTCCTATGAAATATTCGTAAGCCAGTTTTGTGACTGGCGAGCAAGACAGTAACATGATGCTACTTTATCAGCATAAGGCTTTGTGACTGCAGGTGATTTCTGATGTTTTTAGGCAAATTACAGTTATTATTTTGCACTAAGCTTACTAACAAGCTAATGTTATTGTTTATACATCATGTAAGAACATCCAATTTCAAGTCACTGACATCATTTGTGAAACCAATTTCATTACAGGACAGGCATCACAACAATGTAAATGAGAACATAAATATCAATGTTTAGTTCAAAAAATGCATCAAAATAAAATCATAATATCAAGAAGTCCTACAGGGTAATACAGTCATTTTTATCATTACTGTCATTGGTTTTCAGGAATTCACATTGGAAGGAGTGATGGAAGACAGTTCAGATAAGGAGTATGTGCCTGAGCCTGCCACAGACTTTGATGTGTCGTGGGAAAGTCTGAGACCAGGGGGTAAAGGAAAGGGCAGTACTGGAAAGGGGAGAGGAAAAGGTCGCTCCGAGGGTCGGGGAAGGACACGCTCAAGGGGTGAGGGCAGCAGGTTGAGATCCAGAGCTCGTTCAAGAGGACCAGGGCGCCGGGGTAGGCAGCGAACAGCTTTCAGAGAAGAGGACCGAGACCGGCTTGCACAGCTGAGAGCTGCCAGTATAGCTGAGATGCAGGTTGGTTGTAGCCATATGTGTAAAAAAAAATAAAAATAAAAAAATAGAGAGATGCCAAAAACAAAAACATCACTCACTGGAGATATGAATCTAGTCATGTAAACATATGCTCTTTAATTTCTAGACAGCTTTACAACACCTGAGCCAGGAGGAGAGAGATTATATTCTCGAGAGAGAGTGGTGAACCGTCTTCCAGGGGTGATGCTGGATATCCTGGAGTTTCGGCAAGAGACGCCAGGACACCATCTTCCTGATCAAGGGCAGCCTGCGTGGTGCACTTGCCAGAACTGCCGACGCATGCCTACACAGATTGAAAATCTGTGCTGTAGGCAGGTTCTGGAGCTCTGTCTAAGCAGAAGTGCTCACCTGGAGCTATACTGCTTGGATGAGGGCACATTGCATCTAGTGATGATGACCTGGAACGACATCTTCGCCTTAGAGGACAACCAAGATGTGGGCACAGACAACCGAGAGTTTCGTTTTGCTGCGTATCGTCAGTTTGCTGTCTGGCACCGTGTGGGCGTCTGGGAAGAGGAAGTCGGAGACCAATTCCAAGCTGCTGTGTTCTACGTATACGGGAAAAATTCCCTGATCCATTTGGGAATTACACTGGCTACAAAAGAAGCACCATTTAGGGTGGCAGACTGAAAATCCAAAACGTTTATCTACAACTACAGTAGTTCCAAAACAGCACAATACCTCAAAATAACTTTAGCTGAAGACAGTATTTCCACCCAAAAATAAACAAATAGTTTGTGCTATATATTTATTTTATTTATGTACAAAAAAGTTCTGTTATTTGCATTTGTACATAGTATTTTTTCTTAATTTCTAATAAATCTGTGTGCATGAAAGAAGTCATTCCTGTCTTTTGATGCTTCACGTAGCTGGGGCCTTTATGGAAAGAGGAGAACAGTAGCATTAGATCATATAGCAAGGCTCCATCCAATTTGGTAATTGTCATTTTCAACTTGACCTTGGCACAACAGAAAAGTGATGTGTTGTGCAGGTAGTGTGAACATTACAAATAGTTCCAGACTTATAAATTAATTACTGGTGTTCTTCTGTATATTCTTACTTTGTGACTCATAATTGTCTTCTTTTTTCTTATGTAACACAGTTTGGATAGATGTTTTTTTCCATTTATATGCAGGCAGCAGAGGGACAATGTCGCCATCTGCTGCCTGCATATAAATGGAAGCGATGTCTCGAACAGCTGGCGACTCTGACGAAGGCGTAAGTGATCCGACTGAAACATGAAAGGTAAAAATACATCTACCCAAACTATGTCAAATAGGAAAAAAGAAGACAATTACTGGTGTATTATAATTGGTGATACAACCAAAACTGCAAAAAGGTGCAGCAGATGGCTTGTGAGATTGAATATTTTATGCTGAGGTTTATTTATTTATTTTAACCAGTACAACAATAAACATAATTAGAATTGAGCTGACAAGAAATGTGGGATTTTGTTGAATGACACACCTGTCCTCTGCGAATTTGTGTCTGGACCAGTTCTGCCGTGGGGGGTGCGACAACTCCAGCTAAATTCCCAAGATTTCTTGGGTCACCGGGGTTGCGTTTTGCAATTCTTGGGAGCGCCCCTCCATCCTTTCGTTTTATGAGGATGCAACGCTGAAGTTCAGGGATGTAGCTGTAGTCTTTGGCAACCTTGACCACTTGTACGTGGTAATTTTGTGACTTTTTGCTGTAGAGCCGCTTGTATCTAAAAGACAAGCATTACAGGATTTATTGAAGGTCCACCTTTCTACATTTTCATTCAACGACACAAATATTTTACAGTAACAAATCCAACAACTTATTTTGAAGCACAGATCATATTCAGTTACCTTGAAGATAAACAAAACTATTAGACTTACGACTTCTCATTTTTCCGGGTTGTATAATCTGGTCGGTGGTTGTGGTGGTTGTAATCCAACGCAGCAAGAAGGCACCTGGCTTCGTAGACAGGAGGAGAGAAGGCAAGCCTGTGTTTTGCATGGAGAGGGGGTCAAGATTTATAAAAATTGAACCACATAATTTTCAAGGGACTAATATTTCTAGGACATAACACATGCTAGATATTTCTATTTGTCATTCATAACCTGGAAAATGTAGTAATTTCAGTTAGTAATTATAACAAATTATGTACAAATCACTTCTAAATCAAATTACCGTTTTTCCAGCATACATGAGAATGTAATTCTGGAAACTCTCCAGTTCTGAAGTTGACCTGTAAAAAAAAAACTGAAGCTACAACTTTATAGATTATTAGGAATCACACTTTTGATTGCCTTTTCACCCACAATTGTCATTTCTATATGTAAATTGTCAGTTTTGATATTGACACTTTAGCTTTTTTGCTTATGAAAATGTTATTAATATACCTAAAGGTCAGATACTTGGTGACATCCTTCAACCAGCGTCTGGTGAACATGATTCGTTGAAGAGCCTCGTGTGGTGGAGATCCTGGCACCATGAGCTCTTTATCACTGGTCGTTGCATCAAGTGGTCCATGGTCACATTTGCCACGGGTCCATTCATGCTTCCCTGTGACATGGTGAAGCACACCCACCCACATGTCCTAACAGAAAAAATAAGTTTTATTTGAAAACTTTACATGTGACAGAAGCGCTCACCAACAGAAACACGAGAGCTGGCACTATTATGAAAAGAAAGGTAATTATGTCAATGTGCATTGTTGTCTTGTTGTCCAAAAGATGTCGCAATACTTACATTAAACATATCACGATGTTGTGCTTTCTGGAAAATGTACCAAAATTGGTTGAAGATGTCCTTCAGCCACACAAGTAGGATGGAATTTCCCTTTAGGATCCCAGCCTGTGAACAAGGATAAAACAACAATTCCATCTTTTAGTTCTTTTTAAAACATAGAAGGGTTTTATTTACCTGCAACGTTTTGTTTGCGGCTGCAAACTTCGTCAGCCTGACAAAGTTTTCATAACAGTTCTATTCTATTATGAAAACAATAAATAAAAGTAGAATTAATATATTGTTTTAAGACTTTGGAGTTTAAAAAAGAGTGTAGATAAGAAGACATTGCAACTCACACCCTGTTGAGTAAGTTGTTTGCTTGGTCCTCATCAATTTGGACTGCATCCGTAGCTAGATCCATGGATTTGAAACTACAGACAACACAGTAATATTTGTTGTACGTAAAGATAAATACTGGAACTTACCTGAAATGGTACTGATTCTAAAGAGATAAATGTGGAGCCTAATACATCTGTCATTAATTCTTTCTGCAAATAACAACAATCTGCCGTGAATTGACACTTCACAAAATAAATAAATAAATATATATAATGACCTATATTTGCTTATCTATTGTGTTTTTTATCTTTTTTGCACATAGTACAGCAGTAATTTCCTGCATATATGGCAAGACTTCTCATGAACAAATTTACCTTTCTTCAAAAGGATCCAAATCTAGGTCATCAGCACCTCAACACCAGCCATTAGAAAATCTTCCCTGTAAAGATAATGTCAGAAGTGTTTGGTGGTGTGATGTTAGTTCTGAACCAAGTGTGGATATGCAAGGTGTAATTTAATGTATGAAATATCATAGCACAAAAACGTGAATATTTGTTTTACAGAAAAGATACTAACCCCTCAGACACAGGTTCAATTGGAGATAATCTATGCGACATTTTAGCTGCTGTTCGCTTACTGGGTGTCGAGGTTGACTTCACATTACCTCCCTGAATTGCAGTTTCAGGAGCCTGCTTCTTCCGGTAGCTGGAAAACACATTTTTAAACAAAAATGTCAACAAGTTGGTTGGGACTCTACACCCTCTGTTTACATAGATCAATAATGGCTAAGCTTTTTTTACCTGTGGCACAACTAGTAATATGAAAATGCAGGTCAGTTATAAAAAAATGTATTTATAATTTTCACAAACATATTTCATTCTGACCTACATTCAACAGGACAAATTTAGAAAAATAAACAAAAACTTCTGCACAACTTTACTTTTAGTAAAACATGTAGTTATGGCTGACTCGTTATCTACTCTTTTGTAGCACAGCAATAACGTTAGGAAAAGATATTTTGATGGGGTTCTGTTACACAAACCCCAAGAATAACATTATCTACTGAAGTAACAGTCCTGCTTAGAGGTTGGACTGTAGATCAAATATAGCATAATTCTAAAGACTCATCTTTGGTTTGGAAAATGTCCGTTCTCTTCTGTGGCACATAGAAACTGAAGCGTGATCACAGCTAAAATGCTACCGCACGCTAGCTCTGTCCGACTCGGTGACGTCATATAATCAAATCAAGCTCTGTTTACTTTTCTCGTCAGAATAAACGGAGCACCCATTTATCTCCAAACACAAGCGGTGTGTCGTCCACAAAACGTAGAAGTGATCCGATTACTCCTTAGTTGCTTTTAGCTTTTTCAAACTGATCAGGAAGCCATATGCTAAACACTGTTAGCTTTGATAAGTTTCTTGTTTTTTGTTCATTTGCACAAAGATTTGTTAGATTACCTAAATCAGTATTATCTAAATCCATAGGTTTTCTTTTCTTAAATTGTGGAGATACAGCTCTGATATGTTTACCTACTTGTTACTGAAACCTACAGCAGACATAAGGAGACCAGGTAATACAACACTTACCTGGTCACTAGAAAATGCGCCATGTCCGCATCCTTTTTCAGGCCCAAATTGAGTTGAACCAGCCTCATTCTCCCAGAGCGTACCCAATACATATTCGGGTCCCTGACCGACTTTTATCATATTTTCTTTTTGACTCTCGAGATGCCGCTGATAAAACCTTCTTCTTTGTGCCACTCTTTAGTGGGCTTTGAGTTGCGCTTGGTCTTTTGCTAGTTGTAGAATCCATGCCCAGGGTTCTTCCACTTCTGTTTGAGGTTTTAACGTGGCTAGTAGTGAAAGACGCATTACCGCCACCTAGCAAGCTTCCAAATGTTTTTCCGGGTTTGAACCTTGTCGAGAACGCGCTTGAAGCGTCAATTAACGTCACATCCGTAAAACAGCGCGGGAAATTCGGATCAGAAATGTTTTGCAATTTGAAGCACACAGTCTAAGAAAATGGAATGATAAACTGGTTTCATCATTCTTTTTAGTTTAAAATGCTTCATCACCCATAAGCTTCACAAGAATGAACATGAATCCTATTTACTTGCCCCACGCTCCTTTAAGGCCAGAAAGAAAACAAAATCGGAGGTTAAGCACTTGAAGCTTCTTTTTCCAATTACATTGAATGCAGCATGACGTAAACAAACACCAACTCCAGAGTGGTTGCTGCTAGGATGCAGGATGAAGCGAAAAAGGCAAGCAACAATTACTGCGTATTTAAAAAAGACCAACAGTGTAAGTAGGCGTGTCAGGGATTTTTAATGTATTAATGTATTATTCTTTTAATGTTCCTTTTTAAGTAATCAAATGTTAGTCAGGACTGTTTTTTTCCTTTCAGTCAACCTCTGGTATGCTGTGGGGATTGGTAGAAATAGTCTGCCTGGCAACAGGCTGAATGAGTCATCAGTTTTTGGCCTTCAGCTAACTTGAGACTTCCTCTTTGTCGGTCCCGCCTTAGGTAGAAGTTACGTTGTTATTGGTCAGTTCTAGCTCAGAAGCAATGTTATTGTTTAGCGTAGGCTATGATGAATAGGTCTTTGTCCTCATTTTCTCTCTCTAACTAAAAGTGCTGGAGTGGGAGCGGAAGGCAGAGTTGGAAGGCAATGTTCTGATCATGCTTTCGGCTCTCCGCTGCAGCTCATAAAATCAACCAATCTTCTCTGGTGTGCGTTCTTTTGGTTAAAATATACTAGGGATGCACGATATTAGGAAACCCTGCGATATTCGATAACAGTGCTTAATGTTGCGATATCGATATTACTCGCGATAATTGAACAAATACTCAAGTGTTGATGTCGTCTGGCGTGTGATGTCTGCTCTGGGTTCAAAGCAAACAAAAACTAATGCATGAATTCCATTACAACATAACATTTTATAGCAAAAATATGCAGCTGCACCTGCTACTGTATTAGCAGCAAAACAACAAACTGCTTGCATGCAGTTTCTCAGTGACTTTAAAACATCACCTCCACCATAAAAGTTTGTCTGATGCTCCAAAAACAGAAAAACATCCCTTACCAGGGTTTTTGAATAAATAAAGTCAGAAAATAAGTTTAAACGTTAAATAATAGTTAACATCACTTAAATGCAACAGCAAATTCTGTCATTGCTACTGAACATTTTCTCCACTTATGTGGTTATGATATAAGGCTGTTGCTGCAATTGGGAAGTGAACTGTGCTGGGCCAAACTAGGAGAATGTTAAGATTTTCTGAGGGAAAGAGAAAAACAATTGTCTACCTTTCAGAAGAGGAACTGGCAACAAAGCTACATGGAAAATATGTGAAAACGTTTGGTTTTAACCCCAAATTGAACAAGTTTACCTAGATCTTAAAAAGCAGCTCAGATGATGAAACTGCAACTATGATTCTGATAACAAGCTAACACATTGAACTAGCTCCTCTAAGATAACCGGCTAGCAGAGCTTCTGACTGACAGTTTATGTGCAGCAGCAAATCAACTATCCTGATTAACAAGGTTATAAAAGCTCATAAATGAAAAATCACTTGGATGTGTGGGGGAACTTTTCCAGGCCTTCTTTAGCAGGGTGGGACTGGGAGGAGAGTGCTGTAGCCTTTTAGCTGGAAGCTAACCGGAGCCACCACCCGGTGGAACACTAGCGACATGGAGGTAGGTGGGTTGGTTCACCGGCACGTGTCAGAGTCAGCCCGATTATTGTCAGCTGCTTAACGACACCAAGCGGACTCGCGTTCACGTTTGAAAGCAGCGCTGAATCCAGAAACCTCAGCACAAAGTGTGTTCGTTGCTCTGAGCCAGCATGACGAACAAGGGAACGGCGCCGCTAACTCAGTTCGGGTGTTGCTTTCCATCCTAAGGGTCTACGTAGGGGGCGGGCGTATTACGTGAACAGACCCATCCGATTGGCCGCATATCAGAAGGGCTACATTTGATTGGTCAAATAATTGTTCCGCGTAAAAAACAGAGCTGGTTTACAAAAAGGTGTTGTATGACATGGATGGAAATGTTTGAACCAAAAACATTTATCGCCGTTTTTGACGTGCTTTGCGATGGGCCTATCGCACGTCCTGTTATCGCGATGATGATAATTTTTCAATATATTGTGCAGCCCTAAAATATACCTAACAAGGCAGGACCGATCTGTTTATGCATGTTGGTTATAGTTTCAGTACATTGTTGTCAGTGTTGGGACTTACTCATTATAAGCGCCAAAGCCTCCTTGCTGAATTTAACAAGTCTCATCTACAACTATGATCCTTCATGAAGTTACTACTTTACACCAGAAGATAGTGGAGGTGTGTAACTTTCAGGAAGAGCAAAGTTTGGGAGTTTTTGGAGCTTGAAAAACGCCTCCCGCCGAGAGGCTCCCAGTCGGGGAGAGGAGGAGATGCGCGCAACATGAAGAGCGCAAATATTAGATAAATCGTATAGTTGCCGGCAGGTCTGGTCTTTGTTGACTGATCACTTTGTCTGGTCATGACTGACTCTGATTATGAAGCAGATTATTGACTCTGATGAAGAAATTCACTCATCCAGCCGGGAAGATTGATGCTGCTGCAGCATCAGACAGCTGATGCTGCACGAGAGTGTGTGGAGCTTACAAGCTCCAAACGTTGGGTTTGATGTTGGTTTAACCTTCTCTGGGACGTGATGGATGTAGAAATTATGGTAAAAACAAAAAAAAAACACTAACATGATAGAAGTAGCGACAATGTGAAAAAAAGCCGTAAAAAAGGGGCAGATGCCGATGCGTTACATAGGGAAGTCAAAGAGTGCCACGTAATCATTTAAAAAAGTAAAATTTTAAATGAGCTTTATATATTTACATATAAATTAAAACTTTCCAAATATAATGAAAATTTCTAAATAACGTAAAAATATGAAGGAACATCTGTTGGTCAGGCTGAAAGGTTTGGTAACTACTGCTCTAAGTGATAAGTGAATATTGTTTTTTAAATATATTTTATGTGCAGTTTTTTAGGGCTTTTATGTTTTCTGTAAAGATTGGTATGCTGAAAGTCATTTAATGTTTTGCATAAAGCATGAGGTTTTGGTTAGTAATCGATTGGGAGAATAAAAAATAACTAAATTGGATAGTGTCGATCAGGCGGTGTTGCCTGCGTTCCATTGCACAATGGCTTCAGACACATATATAATAGTGTTAGTTTTTTCGTAAACCATTGGATGAAATTACCGTATTTTCCGGACTATAAGCTGCTACTTTTTTCCCACGCTTTGAACCATGGGGCTTATAATGAGGTGCGGCTTTACTGAAGATTTTCCTTCACCTGCCAGGGGGCGCTTTAGCAGAAAGTAAACAGGTGGAAGTCAAAAGTGGAAATCGAAGAAAGTGCTCATTTTAATTTAGCACATGCAAGCAGCCGGCACGACGAAGAATTTTTTTCAAGTCCATACCCCTTCATCATGGTAACTACACGTATGAGTTCATATGATGCCGCTTTTAAGTTGAAGGCCATCGATCTGGCAGTAAAGGAGGGAAACAGTGCTGCCGCACGTTAGCTTGGCACGAATGAATCCATGGTTCGGCGCTGGAGACGGCAGCGGGAAGAACTCATTCAAGCCAGCTTCACCCGGGGATGATGACAGCAACACGGACAGCAACACTGACATCACCACAGAAAAGGTATGTGACGAAGCTCTTCTGAGGCTGTTCAACTCCGACACTGAAGAAGAGGACTTTAATGGCTTTAGTGCACAAGAGGAAGATGAGAGTGAATGACTTTTTCTGGTAGGCAAGTGTGTTTTATTTACTAACCAGGCATGTTTTGTGTGCAGTTTTTATTTTCTAATCATCCAGGGCTTATTAATGCTGTATCAGCGCTGTTCTTTTCTTCTAAACATGCACGCAAATTACCGGTAATAACGTGTCAGTTCTGTTTTTATTTTAAAACCATCCAGAAATATGAATGCTATCAGTGCTGTTGTCTTTTCTAAACTTGCAGGCACGTTCACCCGTGTTTAAAATTCGTTTTGTTGAATTAAAACAACAACGAAAAACCTCCGTGTAGCGTTTCTGTCTAATAATCTTGTGTTATGGCCATTCATGTGCTGTGTGCTGGAGACCTGCATGTGGCTGCTGCGCTGCGGCTTGTATTCGAGTGTGGCGTGTGTGTAGAAAACCTTTATTTTTGTTGGTGCGGCTTATATTGAGGTGCGCTCTATAGTCTGGAAATTACGGCACATAAACTGACTGAGCTCTAGTTAAGGCTCTTGCAACAGTTTGTGTATGTGTACGTGCATGCGTGTGTGTGTGTGTGTGTGTTTGTGTTTGGGGAAGGGTACATTTGAACGTTGTCCCTCCCAGTATGAAAATTTTATCTGCGCCCCTGCCCTCACCCCCATCCTGACCTTAACCCACTTGCACATGCAAAACCTTGTTTCTAGTTCTATCGTCCATCTCAAACGCAGATAACAAGTAGTTTAGAACGGGAAACTATGTTGAGGTTAGGATGGGGGTGAGGGAAAGGTTAGATAGCAGAAAGTTAAAGGTTAAATGTCGGTGGAATGTGCGTTTTTCCTTGGGCTTCGGAAATCGACACTCTGGTGAAACGCGTCACCTTCGGAAACAAACGCTTGGTCACCCATCGTCAGTTTTAGCCGCTTCGGGTGTGAGAACGTGTTGCGTTAATATAAATTGAACCTTAATCAGTATTAATAAAACACACTGATGGTGTTAATTTTGAACTCTACACACTGGTGTTGAGATAATTTGACACCAATGAGTGTTACATTTTACCTGTTGAGTGTTGTTTCAACTCTGCCAGTGTAAACTAATCAACATTTTCAGAAGTGTTTTACTCATTCTAGAGTGGACCAATACAGACACGTTGGAAGTGTTGAATTTACCTGCCTAGGAGTTGAATTAACACTTCTGAATAGGCTACGGCTGCACAACATCAGAAAAGCTGCAGAGACTACAAAGACAAACAATACAATCATAATTTGCATTGGTGCAGCATAATATGTGTTCATGTACCACATTGCTGCTGTGTAACATGTGAAATATGTCTAAATGTGTAAACTCCTAAGAATGGCATCTCAGATGACCTCACAAATGTTGGGTAATTAACATAACAAAAGAACTAATTTTATTGTCAAATATTGCATTAGTAGGCAACATTTTTACACGGAAACAAAGTTACAAACCTACACTTAGTACCAGCGATGCAACCATAAACAGAAGTTGTAAACAGCAACCATCTCCAAAAGGACACCAGGAACTGCGGGCCAATGCATTTTTTTTCTTGCTTTTAGACTGAGTGCAATTTCTGCTCAATAAAGTTTGTTCAAAATAAAGCAGTTTCTATGGTGCATTACTTAAAGCAACCACCAGAGGGTGCTGTAAACATACAGTGACTAATGAACTGACGAGAATGGACATTTTGCTACTTTAGTGATAACAGAACACTGGTTCTCAAACATCTTAGCCAGAGATGCACCATCCACTGTTTTTCACTCTCAGTACCGATACAGATACCTGAGGTTTAGGACTGGTCCATGTCCGTCTGATACAGATATAGAAAACAGTGCTGAATATTTCTCACTGTAGAAAAGACTGGATCATCCCTCTGAGCAGGGAAAACTCTTTCCTATTTTTAAAACCATACAAACACAAATATTCTGAATAAACATTTATTTTATACCTCTGCACTAGTACGGTTATTTTAAATGAACCAATAGGTTCACACAGTTTGTCAAATGTAAAAATAACAAAACATTATCTTGTTCAGTCGGTGCAGTTAGGAGGATGAAACCCTGGTGGATCCAAACCATAGACTGTACATACTGGACAAACGGATTCCATAGACTCCAATAACACGTTTTTTGTCTATAATGGGAGGTGGCCACCACCGCCATTTTGACCGTGTCACAGGTTCCGTCCAGCCCAGACAATTCCATAAAAGGGAAGAGAGGAGGAGCTGAGGGTGTGGCTGTAAGGCTGGGCTCGAGTGACGACACCCGTGCGAACTAGCTACGAGCTAACCTGAAGCTGACCCTGGCTAACCCAAAGCTAACGCGGAGGTGGGAGCCGAGCTAACGGATGTAGCCACCTAGCTTCAACCCAACCGGAGCTAACTGGAACACCCATCGACCTGAACCTCACACGGAGTTTAGATGGAGGTTTTCGGCGCCTGTTAGTGACAAGTACCTGGATTAAAAAAGTATTGAATCGGTAAGTTTATAATTTATTTCCGTAATGAAAACATTTTGCTGTGAGCAAGTTTTCAGTACCGTATCTTCCGGGCTATCGCTCCTGAGTCGCACCAGCCATTAAATGTATAATGAAGAAGAGAAAAAATATTTAAGTCTTATTTTGGGGGGACATTTTATTATCTTTCTTACAAAATCTGAGACCAAGCGTTTCACATTGCAACACAAGCACCGGTAACCATAACAGAATGAACAACAGCCAGCAGAGGAGAGGATGGCGGTGTTTCAAACCCTCCCGGCCGGCGAGGAGAGCTCATTCCTGGGCTGGAGCCGGCCCTCAGCACCCCGCCACAGGCTCTAACAGATGCTGGCGGTGTTTGAAACCCTTCCAGCGGGACAGGGGAACTCATTCTTGGGCGGGTCGGAGTCGGCCCGCAGCAGCGCGGTGTTGCCTACATATTTTGTTATATAAGTCGCTCCGGAGTATAAGTAGCAGAACCAGCCAGAATATGTAAAAAAGTGCGAGTTATAGTCCGGAAAATATGGCAGTTATTAGTATTCGAGCTAAATTAGCAGCCTAAATACATTTCATATATTTCCAAAATGTGATACTTGTTTGTATCTTGTACAGCCAACTAGTCTTTATTCTGGACTCAGTAAAATTTACCAAAAGTAAAGAGACATTCTACAGATGAAGTAAGCACAAGGTAACTTACTGGAAGACACGGAATTATCATCAGAACCAGAACAAGAGAGCCTGATAACAGTCATGTGAAAATAAGTTAAAAAGTATGGATGTATAATAGAAATAAAAATATATTAGAATTAGTGTAACTCACTGTGATCCAAACAATAAATCCGCCATAGCTGATTAGTAAATATGACATGAGGTCTGGGAGTTTTTAATTTTCATTTTTATTTTTTTCTTAGATCTGTTTAAATGTCACCATGGCAGCCTGTGTGTCTCCAACATCAGCTACACAAAGCAGCAAGTGTAAGTTCCACATACCTGTCTCACCACTTCATGTATGGTTTTGTACTTTAAACAATTATGACAAACCTGTTATTTTTTCTCCATAGCCATTTGGATCATTGGAGACAGCTATGTGAGGCGTGGTGCCCAGAGAGCTGCAGAGACAACCTTGGCCTCCCTGACGTCTGTGTCTCCTGGTTCGGTTGGGGCGGACCATCGACATACATACATGTGCCGACACTTTGCGCCCTGTTTTATAAAATGTAGTGTTAAAAATAAATGTTTTTGCTCAATTACTGGAATTTCTTTGGTTAAGACAAAAGTGAGGAATAATCATTTACAAGTTATTTGTACAACAGGCCCATTTTAAATCCCAACAGTTTCTTAGCAGACAATAGAAATGTGTTCTTTACTAACTTTACTTGGTTTAAAAATCTTACTAAAATAAACAGAGTGCCGTATTGCAAAACCCAATAATACTTATGTAAACATTAGCTTTGTAGATATTTATTACAGATATATATTTGTGTGCAACAAAAACCAAACTTAAATAATTTGTCATTCTTTATTGAAAAACAACAAAATACAGTTATACAGAAGTGTGGGAAAATGATAATGTGAAAGTATTGCTCTTTAAATGTAATCCTATTTATCTTTAAAAAGAAAAACTCTAAAAATGTCCTGTACAGCATCATGACAGAAGAATGGTGGTCTGTCTGTCAGAATGTGCTGAACAGATTTGCTCTTTGAAGAGGAGTGTCATGTTTGGAGGAAGGTACTTAACCCAAGACATGCAGAATACAACACTGACCAAAAACTGATGGAAAAAATGATTTATTTATAAGGAGGAACTTAAGGTGCACAGATAAGTCTGTGGTTGGAACTGCAACAACAGCTCAGCGTCTGGAGGAGGGAGAACACAGGTGAGCTTAGGTTCTGGTTTCAAAATCCATTGTAGGCAGGCAGAGGTGTTCAGCAGACTTACTGTGGTGGGTGTATGTGTTGGCTGGAGGAGGGAGAGGTAGAGAGCCGGGGGAAGCGCAGGAGAGGGAGCAGAGGTGGAGAGAAGCGGGGCGTCCTGGTGGATGGGGCACTGGGTGAGATGAGAGGTGGGTTATGGAGGGTGGTGATAAGGTCCGTGTGTTGAATATCCAAATCCTGGAGTAGAGGTCAGTATCCAATGAGGTCGACAGGAATCCTGAAGAATGGTAAATCCAATATAAGAGCAAAAACACCACGACATAACATTAATCCTAGGAACACTAGAGGTAACACGAGTGGCTGGTTACTACCAAAACTGAGGCAATCTTCTGGCGTCAAATTGTGTCCTCCATCCACCTTAAATAGGAAAGCACCCCGCTGATTGCTGATCAGGAACGGCTGGGGTGGAGTCACCAGAACCATGAAGAACGTGTCTCCAGAGACAACCCGGGTCCTGGTACCGATCAGGAAGCGGACCTTATCACCCAGAGCTGCCAGGTCACGCTCAAAGCCTTCATGTTCACGCTGCAGAGCCTGAACGCTGGCCAGGTCGTGGCCGTAGTTGTCTGTGTTCAGGGCCTGGTTCTTCTCCTCGATCCACTCTTTGGTCTCATCAGCGTCTCTGAGAAGACATCAGAACTCCGTCTGAGTGTGGGTCCAAACTCTACTGACCCGTAAGTGGCGCATAAGTGTGCAGGGTACCTGTGGAAGCGCTGCCCAGCATGTTGCTCCGGTCTTCAGCCAGCTGTTGCAGCGAGCGCCAGCGGTTGTTCAGCTCCTGGAGAGAAACCAAACCCAGTGAGATGAAGGTGGACGCCAGCGGGCTGGACGCCGGACGAGGAAACCTGGAGACGGATCGCTCAGACAGGAAGGGAAGAGCTTCCTCTTACCTTGATGGAATTAAAGTTAGCCGTCGTCTGAACGCCCAACCGTACGGTCTGAGGTCAAAGGTCACAGGAAACACACACCAGTCAGCAGTCATACAGATGCATAAAGATAACTGTAGCCATGGCAACCAGCTGACATGTCCCCACTTTCACCAGCACCTGGTGCCTGCCGGGTCACCTGAATTCCTGTGTGATGTCAGCACGGTCGGCCGTGACTGCGGCCATCAGAGGTGACCTCTGATCAGCTGAATGAACTCACCTTCTAGGGCAGACTTGGGCATTTTACGGCCCGCGGGCCAAATACGGCCCTTTGGTTGACTTTGACCGGCCCGCGTAAGGTTAATTGGAAATTACAAAATAAATGTATTTTCTCATTTTACCTCATGCATGGTCTAAGGCTGCATTGCTTTTATTTTGAAGTTGTTTTTTACGTGCACAATGACGCAACACGTATAGCAACAAGTGCCCGCGGCTGACATGGTGATTGTAGCCCCAGAAATGTCCGCTCATGCAAAAAAAAAAAAAAAAAAAAGAAAGAAAGAAAGATGCCAAATACAGGATTTTCAACTAAAAGTGGACTGCTAAGTATTTTGTTTTTACTGAAGTCGGAGGTAAAGCCGTGTGTTTGGTTTGCGGGGAGGAGATTGCCGTGTTTAAGGACTACAATTTGAGTCGGCATTACGACAAGAAACACTCGGAAAAATACAAGAACTCATCTGATGCTGAGAGGGCACGGACATCCGAAGCTTTGCTAGCAAAGTTGCAAAAGCAGCAAGGCTGTTTTACTAAGCTTCACACATCCAGGGATGCAGCAACCAGGACCAGCTTTGTGATATCCCACAAAATAGCTAAAAACAGCAAGCCGTTTTCGGAGGGAGAGTTTGTCAAAGTGCACAGAGTGGTGGACTCCGCAGCACTAATATGCCCTGAAAAAAAAGGCGCATTTGAGCAAATCCCGCTGTCCAGGTGAACCGTGGGGAACCTGGAGCTTCAGCTGCAACGTGAAGTGGCAAGTTTTGACTTTTTATCATTGGCCTTAGACGAGAGCTGTGATGTCCGGGGGATAACGGAGCTCACAGAGGAGCTGGCAGCAATGCGGTCGATGAAAGGGACAACGACAGGGAGTGATGTTTCTACAGAGGTAAATGCGTGCATGGACACTCTGGGATTGAAATGGGAGAGACTGTCAGGTGTCACAACAGACGGTTGTCCAAATCTTACAGGGAAAAATGTCGGACTTTAGAAACGCATGCAAGATAAAAGTGACAGAAATCGATGCAGATCAAACATAGGTGTTTTTGCATTGAATTATACACCAACATGTGTTGTGCAAGTCAGTGCTAAAAATCAACCATGTTACTGATGTTGTTACTAAAATAATAAACTTCATCAGGGCTCTACCTACATTTGTGAACAAACATTTTCAATGATGAAGTTTACAAAATCCAGGTAAAGATCCTCTCTCACTGATGATCATTAGTCAGCTGTGCTTCGCATCTCCACCTCAGACATTCAACCTGACTTTGATGCACTCGTTAAAGCCCAGCAGAGACCAGATTTCTCTCATTGAATAAGAAAAAAAATCGCTTAAAAACACAAAATAAGGTGTTTGGACCACAAATGTAGGCAAACTGGGACACTTTTTTTTTTAAACCTCTTTCTCAAGATCACAGTTCAGTGATTTTATTTTACAGACAATACTGTGTGTCTGTAGAATGCTAAGAACCTCTTTCCAACAATATTTGAAACTCAAAATGTGTTTTGGAGTGAATGTGACTAAAACTGTTAACTAATATAAGTCACAAATGTTTAAAGAGCAAGTAACGTCTAAATTAACTTTTTTTTGCTGATGAACTGTATAAATGAGTGTCTAATAGTGTTTTAAATGTGTGCATTCTTTATTTTAGCATTTTGGTGCATTTTCTTTAAAAATTAAAAATTCTGTCTAAAAACCACAGTAATGCGCCACCTTCAGCTGAAAACATAGAATTTGAGTCATTTTGAATAAATTTTAGCCAATGGCTAAAGAGTAAAGTACTACGTAAACCAGTAGAGTACTACGTAGCAGCTCCGTGCTAAGGTTATAAAAGCAACGAGCGTCTCGGCCACGCCCTGTGGCGAGTGGGAGTTGGATTTGCAAGCCAGCGTAGGAGGTCAGCGGTAGTTCAGCATTAGCATATAGCATTAGCATATCCTAGTCTTTAGCATATCTTTTAGTGTTATAAATACTTATTTAGTGTTAGCTTGGCTGTTGGATATTGTAGTTTAGTTAGTGTTTGGCTGTTAGTGTAATTGGGAAAGTATTTCGGGTTTAGTGCTCCATATCGTCTTAGTATTAGTGAGTAGGTGTAGTGTAGTATGCTTGCGGTGACTCTGTGGGCATTTTACCCGCGATTCTGCACGCCTCCGTTTGAAGAGGGAGGCTGCCCACCGTGGCTCTTCCGCGATTTAGATGCAGCCCACCGACTCTGCTCCCCCACCACGGCGGGCTCCAGTCTGAGGTGAGTCAGCTAAATAAACGTTTTAACATCTTCTAAAGACAATTCCCTACCTAAATGCAAAGTCTGAGAGACGTGGTTCACTTCCTTTAGCTAGTCAGTCGGCAATTCTGCAACAGTGTCTCTAACTAACGCAGCACTTGACAGACAGCATTACAGCGTGAAATCCAGCTTGTGACCCAGTTCTGTGAGGAATTCTGTTCAGGAGGTCACATTTCAGGCTCTCCACATCATATGTGACTGACTTTTACATTATAACAACGATCACACACTAGGAATGTTATAAAGCGCCTATATAGGAGATTCTTTTGTATGTTATCTGACTTTATAAACTCCCAACAACAATGTGCTTCTATTTTTTTTCAGGCTAAATCTACCCAAGACACTGGCTGTCAGACTGATTTAGCTGCATGAATGCACTTGTCCAGGCTGACGTGAAGCCTTACCCGTAGCAAAGGTGAATTATTTTTAATAATCTTCTATGTAATCATTTTATTATCACCTTCTAGTTTTAATTTGTTTTACAGATTATTTTTACACGTGATTTTATGCTCTTTAAACATTTATAAATGTGCTGCTTCTTTGTTTTTACATAGCCAGCCAGAATGGAGTTCACAGCCGCAGTGTGTCTGGTGACCCACAGGGACCATGATGAAAATTCATCTTCCAGAAGGTCCCAGAGCATCCAGACCCCCTGAAAAGACCAAGATGTAAGGTGTCTGCTGTTGATTCCAGCTTCCACCTCAGTGACAGTGCAAGCTCAGTGAACTGTTCAAGGTAAAAAAAAAAAAATTTAAAACATTTCAGAATTTTTAAGATATTAACAATTAAATAAGTATGTGATTACATCATGACGGAGGCTACTGATTCTGCCCCTGTGACACTTGGTGGTGACGTGTGAGCTGATTCTCCTGGAAAATAACTTTTACATTAAATATTTTGTTTTTGCTATCAAAAGTAAATTAACTAATAACCTGCATTATTGCAGGACACTCAGCAAAATATGGACTCTACACCATGAGGCATGCACACATTAATATTCTATAAGAGCACATAAGGTGAGCAACACCACATATTGTACACTGTCCTGAATTTGTTTTCTTTCTGCATCTCATTAGCCTGGCTGATCACCTGATAACCCCTGTCATCTTGTTATGACAGCATGAGGATGTCCTCACACACCTGTAACCTATCAGCTCATCCTGCTGAATAGAGAGAGAAGAGACAACACCACATCTCCTGTTCCTGGAAAGCCTTCAGCCATCCTTCGATGACTGAGAACCTCCATCAGCTCTGTCTCCTGTCTGCCTACAATTATTATAATAAATATTGTGTTTGACAAGTTTTTTGTGCTGCCAAATATCTCATTTAGATTCGTTTTGATATTTTAATGGATATTTATAAATTACATTGAATATCACATTTTTGTTGCATGTTTAACTATTGTGATTAATTAAACTAGCACCTCACTGTTAAAAGCTCGTTCTAATTTCAAGCATGTTTAAGTATTTATGGACATGAACAAAAACAGGAAATATATAAATTGAGATTTATTTAATTAATGTAACAAATAAGGGGGAAAGAGTCATTGAAAGGCACATTCTTCTGGAAGTTCCTGATCCTGATGACACCAGCAGAGACCAGCTGCAGACACCAGAGGACCTAGAACCGAGAGAGCAGCTGTTATTAGTAAATAAATAAAGAAATCAGGGCAGTTTTAGTGGGCTGAACACATTACAGAATAATTTTCTCATGGGGTATTTTCATAACTTTATATGCAGCAGACTGTAACTTGAGCCCAGAGCTACCGGAGAGCTGCTATCCAGCATGTTTCAGTGGATTTTCCTGCTTTAACAGGTTAGATTAGCTGTTAAGCAGCTCAGCTATTTGTTGCTGATTAAAACCAGGTGTGCTGAAGCAGATAAACCTCTAAAACATGCTGAATACTAGCTTTTTAGGGCCGTGGAGACAAACCCTGCAGCTAATCCAATGCTATGGCTAACGGCTACTTACCTTTCAGAGGTGATTCTGTTGGGTCGGTTCTGGGAGTTTCAGGCAACTCACAAGCTCAAAACAATAAGACTCAGGTCCGCTTGTCTCCTCCAAATAGACTTGGTCCCTTTCTTCTCGAGTGTATGTGTAAGGAGGGGGAGAAACGTCCTCCACTTCTAATAACTGCTCAGAGTGAAGGGAGCTAGCTTCGTCTAGTTAGCCATCGTCTTCGTCACTGCCGCGGCTCCGCCCTCTCGGTCCTCCAGGCAACGCCTACTAATGTTGCATTTTTTAAAATTGATACGTGGGTGGAGAAGGACTCCGAGGCTCAGTTGACCCGCTCTTTAACAAAAACCAAATGCGCACACTTCGTTTACCATTGCCTTGGGAAATTTGAATAAATCACATTTTTGTAAGCCAACCTCACTTTTTCCTTTTTGCTCATTTATAGCATATAGGCTACTCTTACCAGCTTGAAAAAACGATGGTATTTACTGCTTTTTATAAAGAAATACCATTAATATTATGCATAATTGACTTCAGCCTTTTGGCCTGGCCCTCCACAATATTTTCTGTTTCTCATGTGGCCCCATGGAAAAAATACTTGCCCACCCCTGTTCTAGGGTGACGCCGTCTTACCCCGGGTTTCCACGGGAGCCGTCAGCAGCATGTTACTGCAGCAGCACGTCTTGCTCGTGTAAGCTGCTGCTTGGCCCTTCCCACGAGACGCGAAGCAGCAGGGGAGCAGCTGTCACCGACCGAGCACGAAGTCACACGAGTGACTTCGTCAGTAAACACAACAACAAGCAGGAGAAAATTACAACATGGTTTGTGTTTTATGTTCTGTCCGTTTTATAATCGCCAATACGGACCTGAAAAACAAAGGAGACCGCTAGCTAGGTGATAACTTCTCATGGGGCCGCAGTTAGTAACCTTTTTTAAAAGTAAAGCAACCGGAAGGCAGTACGTTCTTTATTCTGAAAATCTCGGTAGCTTCTCTCAATTTCCGCGTCCGATTTCCTGTCTTTCCTTCCCCAAAAATGTCGAACTTGACCCGTTTCAGAGGCGTCGCGCGTAGAAAATAGAACCGGCGCGTAAAGGCCGCGACATGCTGCTCCTGAGACGCGGCCGACTCGCGCTGCTGACGGTTGCTGACGGCTCCAGTGGAAAAGGTTCTGTTGACCACAGCGGTTCCTATCAGCAGCTATGACGTGCTGCTGACGACTCCTGTGGAAAGCCGGGGTTAGAGTCGGCTTCATCCTGTAAACAAACCAATGAGTGGTAACAAAAACACCACGTCTGGTTCTGGTGGAGGCGGAGGACAACACGCACCTTTCCAGGAGCAGAACCCAGATGTTCTTGTTGCTACAAACAGAGACGAGCAGAGTTAACAAACCAGGAAGTGAGAGGGACCAGCTGCTGCAGACAGGTGACGCTCACCTGAGCCTGAACAATAGGAGCCTCCTCAGCCATCAGACCTTCTGACTCCAGTTCAGATGCCACCTTGTTGATGTCCCTCAGGCGGGACTCGTTGGCCTTCAGGTCCTGCAGGACAAAAGCACCTGCTGATTATCACCTGAGATGATCTGACAGCTGCTGCTGGAAGACGGAGAGGAGGAAAAGTCTGACCTTCTGGAAGTCGTCAAACTTCTTCTGCAAGACCTCGACCTGCTCCAGGTCCGACCCGTCTCTCCATCCTCATTCAGCTAAAGACGCGAGTTCAAGTAAAACAACCTAAAGTCACACAAACACAAAGCAGGTGTGGAGATGTTCGCTTGTCCCAACGTCCATGAAGCTCCCACAGTTTAGTCTTCACTTCCTCACCAGCGAAGTGACCTGGACCCAAACAAAGTGAGCCAGAACCTGCAGACACCTCAGAAACATGTCAGGACCAGACCTGCTCTACCTTCCTCCACTATGGTCTCTCCTTTCTGGGTGACAGCCTTGATGCGAGGTTCATGACCTGTGATCTCAGCCTGCAGAGCCTGGTGCTTCTTCAGCAGGTTCTGGACACCAATCAGGTCCTTCCCTGAGGACACATGTTAGAGTTCAGCATTATGCAGTAGACAGACCAGTTTAACCTAGGGGTTTCTTTCTTCTACAATCTGCTCTTTAACTGTATTATTTCCTGCTATTTCAGCTGTTAACTTTATTTTTTCTGTAAGTGTTTTTCTCCCCAGAAGAAGCTACAACGATGTTCTGCTGAGCTGTGGTGGCCTCATGGAGGGGGCCATCGTCTAGCACACTGCTGCTAACCACTTAAACATTCTCCCTCTCCTGATAATAACATTTTACTTTCTTTGATGTTGGATGTACTACTGCTAGTTTACCCGTTTAATTATAGATTCACTAGGATAAATACAATAAAGTTTATCTCTCGCCAAATAGAATATTTACTAAGAAATCACAATGTAACGTGTGTGTGTGTGTGTGTGTGTGTGTGTGTGTGTGTGTGTGTGTGTGTGTGTGTGTGTGTGTGTGTGTGTGTGTGTGTGTGTGTGTAAAAGCCATGTGTAGTGTTTATTTATAAAGCATATGTTGTTGGATTTTATCCAGAATCGAGACTTTGAAAATATATAGTTTAATTACAGTTTGATTTATTTGACATCTGTATAATGTTTATTATTTTGTTTTTTCCCCCTAAATACCTAACGTTTGAGTTTAACATGAATATCAGTCATTCTTCCCAATACATGAAGTTACACATTTTAAATTTTAATAGGGGAAGACTGCAGGAGGGAGCAGTAAAATACAGGGGGTCCCCTGCAAAAACTAACTTTACGAGTCTGATGAAACTTGCTGGTGTTCCCGCTGCTTCTTCGGTAAACAGCGCCAACAAAAACAAAGAAACTTGGGATCTTGTTGGCGTGGCGGTGGGATTTAAGGGAAACGCTGTATGCCCTATAGACTTCTCAACGAGCTGCAGTATTTCTCCGGTCAGATCTGTCTCCGAGTTCCACGAGCGGTCAGCCCGCAGCAGCGAGGTGCCGCATCGGTCAGCCTGCCCGGCCTGACCGCTGGGGATTACCGGATGAAAGAATGGAGCACAGAAGTGTCCCCCCAAGCGGCGCGCCCCGTCATATTTCAACCCATTTTTATCTTAAATGCACTGGGTTTTACCCTATTACCCATCTAAATATGCCCTATTAATTATTTTACCGTATTTTACATTTAAATTTCATGGTTAAACAGTACATGCTACATGTTAAACTGATAGTTAGCTAGCTACTTCGGTAAACTCAGCTAGTTTAAAGGTGGCAGTGACATAAAATACGAATATAGATTTTAACTTACCGAAAAAAATGAAGTGGAGACTCCTTGGACGCTCTATTAGTGCAATTAATACCACAGCAAGTCATTTTGTCCAACAATTGCACCAATAATATCCAAAACAGAATTCACAAGCACAGAGACTCAAAATCCCGAAACAGTTTCCAGGAGGGACCGAGGCTGTACTGAGGCCTTTCTACGGAGCTAGCTCTGTGGTCACGTGGGTCTGAGGCGGCGGTCACGTGTGTCGGATGCTCATTAATTATACAGAATTTTAGGCTTTCAATACACTTAAATAGAAGAGTGAGAAAAAAATTCACCCCCCTCAGAGTTGTCATGAGTGTAAACTAGATAATTTAGACAAAAAACATGTTTTGGTACCAGGCTGTAAACATGTTTATTTCTGCTGTGAAATCGGCTTTTTTAACATGGGAGTCAATGAGGATTTGCTCGCTTCTGACACCAGCCCCCAGCGGATGAGGGTGGAACTGCAATTTTTCTTACTTCCGGGATGGGACCATTTTTAGAGCGGCATTGTGGGGGCTTGATCCAAACCCTTGGAGGTTCCATCAGCTATGGTCCTCAAGTCTTCCTCCAGGTCCTTAGCTAGAGCATCTTTCCCGTGCTTGGCAGAATCCGAACTGGTGAAAGATCTGGAAACATAAATATCAAATTCAGTCTGACTCGTCAAATATTTCCTCAAATAAAAAAAGACAACATGTGCAGTTATCTTTATTATCTGTACTCAAACATGAGTTGTTCGTGTATTTGTTGTGTTCGTTTTTGTCTGTTCAAAGTTCTATTAAAGTCATGAGCCTGTTTGACCGAGTTCCACCCTTCCTCCTCTCCTCCGCCTGCGGCCTGGTGGGGCCGCGGTGGAAGCGGCGGCGACGCGGCAGGCGTAGTGGCGCTTATGTCCAGCTCCGAGCTTCCTGGATGTGCCGGTCCAGTGGCAACGTTTCTTCTGGGGTTTGGGCCTGGTTCCCTGATGATTCATCGGAACACAACATCCAGATTCTCCACAGGCACGACAGCAATCCTGTCAGCTGGGGATCCAACCGGAGGCGTCGTATTGGCGGGGTGAACTGGATGAATCTAACCCAGGGGTGTCAAACTCATTTTATCTCAGGGGCCACATTGAGGGAAATCTAGTCCCAAGTGGGCCGGACCGGTAAATTAAAAACAAAAACTTCAGATTGTTTTCTTTGTTTTAATACAATCAATATGAAACCAGGCTGGAGCCTGAGGACAGTGTATCCAAGTACAACACCTGAAGTGTACTTGAAAATTTGAAAAAAATCAATAAATAAAATTCCTTAGTGATTCAAAGAGCTTACAGATCACATGGCAAGATCAGTTCCATGAAGCACTTAAAGTATATTTGACTCATTTTACTTAACATCTTTTAGCTTTCACCAGCACATCAATATCAGAAGTCACATCCTGAGTGGCGGCCAACTTCAGGATGTGAGTCAAGTTCTTGTGTGAGCCTTGAGCGCAGCTTTGTTTTATTTATACTCATTACAGAGAAAACTTGCTCACAAAGATAAGTTTATTTTCACTCTACATTGTAAAGTATGAAAATAAAGTTTTCACAACCATCTCGCGGGCTGGATTTAACCCGCTTGTGGGCCGGATCTGGCCCGCAAATTTGACACCCCTGATCTAACCTATCCTGTGAGGTCCAGCGAAGAGCGTCCTCGCCCTTGTTTGTCCTCAACTTCCTCGTCTTTCCTCAGGATTGCTCTACTAAATGTTTGTTCGCTGGGGAATAAAACAGTGCTTTTAAAGGATATTTTTTTTTATCGATAATGGATTAACTTTGTTCTGCATGACGGAGACGTGGGTCCCACCGGGTGAGTCAGCGACACTTGCTGAACTTTGTCCGTCAAATTGTTCTGTTGTGAATGAGCCCAGATTGTCGGGTCGAGGTGGGGGCCTATTGACTATGTACTCATCCTCCCTCCCCCTCAAGCGCCTCCTGGGCTCATCACCCCCCACCAGCTTCGAGGTCTCTGTTTTTGAACTCAGTCTCTCCCCTCCAATTCTTTTTATTCTGTGTTACCGACCACCAAAATATAACTCTGCTTTTATTACGGACTTTTCTGACCTTTTAGCTGAATATCTCCCCAGGTACGACCAAGGTATTATCCTTGATGATTTTAATATTCACATTTGTTGTCTGTCGAATCCTCTGGTGAGAGATTTCTCAGATGTTCTGGTTTCATTTGGCCTCCAGCAACTGGTCAATGTTCCTACTCATGAGCACTCTCACACACTGGATTTAGTTTTATCATTTGGACTGAAGGTGCAGGACTTGGTTGTTCATCCTGTCAGTTCTTTAGGTCATTTTTCAGTTGTTTTTAACATCTCTGCCATGTTGCCTTTGGTGAGAAGGCAGGCTTCTCGCTACTCAAGGCACATCTCTCCCTCCACAACTGCCTCACTACTGTCCATCCTGGAGGTTGAATTATCCAATTCTTCCTCATCTGGGATCACCACGGATGTGGATGGGCTTTTAAATTCTTTTAATTTGACTTGTTCTGTTGCCCTGGACTCAGTCACTCCCCTTAAACTAAAATGGAAGAGAACCACCTCTGATCCTTGGCTGAACAATGAAACACGCAGCCTCAGGCGGCGTTGTAGGGCGCTGGAAAGAAGGTGGAAAAAGGACAAGCTACTAACCTCACAGCAGCTTCTGATGGATGCCCTTGACCTGTATCAGAGAAGTGTTAGATCAGCCAGGAACAAATACTTTGCATGCATAATCTCTCAGCATCAGGGTGATCAGCATAAACTTTATAGCACTGTCAACTCAACTCCATCTAGTCAATAACTGAACCTGGTAGTGTTGATCCCTCTGTGTCATTGTGTGCTGAGCTCCAGACCTTCTTTCTTAACAAAGTCCGGGACATTAGGGATAGTCTTGTGCAACCAGGATCTGGCTGTCCTGATGTACCACCAGCACCTCCCTCATTCTGTAATTTTACTTCCATATCTCTTAGTGAATTGTCAGATCTGATTGGAAATATGAAACCAGCAGGTTCTCCCGAGGACCCTCTCCCCCCGAGGATGGTGGGTGAGATCATCCCTATTTTGGGCCCCGCCATCTTAGACATTTTTAACTCTAGCTTGGCCACTGGGGTGTTTCCTACTTCTTTTAAAAAGGCGGTTGTGCAACCAATTTAAAAAAAAACTGGTTTAGACGGCTCAAACCTTGCAAACTTTCGGCCAATCTCCAAATTACCGTTTTTGTCTAAGGTCCTTGAAAAGATTGTCTATTCACAGATTACAGCACACATGCTACCTGTAAACCTTAGGGTCAAGTTTAAAATCCTGACTTTTGTTTTTAAGGCCCTGAACGGTCTGGCACCGGATTACCTGTCGGATCTTGTTACTAGATATGTGCCAAACCGGGCGTTGAGGTCTGCTGATTGCCTGCTACTTTGTGTTCCATTAATGAAATACAAAACGCGGGGGCAGCGTGCTTTTGTCTATGCTGCTCCAACACTATGGAATGCACTTCCTCTTTCGGTGAGGCTGGCACCATCCCTCCTCCGGTTCAAATCGCTGCTGAAGGCTCACTTTTACGACCAGGCATTTTTAAATCCCTGACTTTTATTATTTTATTATGTGTCTTTTTATTGACTGTGATTATCTGCCTTGTTGAGCATTTTATTGTTGTCTGTGTATTGTTTTATATTGTGTTTTTACTTTTTATTCTGTACAGCACTTTGGTCGGCTGCCATGCCGTTTTTAAATGTGCTTTATAAATAAAGTTGGTATGGTATGGTATGGTATGATTTCTGACACAAAGAGCAAACAACTTACAAAATGTTAAATTTTCTCTTCATTTATTAAACTCCAGATGTACTGAGTCTCACCTGCCTTTGTATCGTGGGTTCAGCCGTGTAGAACATGCAGACGGGTTCATCTTCCACGTCGCCAGAGTGTTTGTCAACAGCTGCTAGGATGTTCTTCTTCATGGTTTTATCTCCGAGTCAGCTAGCCTAGGAATCTAGACCAACCTGATTTAGCTTTATATTCACTTAATAGGATGTGTTGCTGGGCTAAAAGTCAGCCTCAGTTTCCATAGAACAGTGACACTTGGGACTACATCAGCAGTGGAGGGTGTGGCTGTGCTCAGCTTCTCTGTAAACGCCTCTAACAGTTTCAGACAGGTCATTATTTTTAAGTAAGGTCCACTGGTTTGCTGTGGGTGTTGAGAGCAGCTCATGGTCAGCAGAATAAGCAGACAGTGTCTCTACCATTTATTAAGTGCTGTTCCAGCTGATTCTAATGTCCTGCTGCAGGCCTTCATCTTCTTCTTCTCCAGGTGGATATTTTCAACCATGAGTATGTTAGTGGAGAACGTGCCTGACAATCTGTCTCACACATGCACCTGCATCACTCACAGAGCTGACAGAAGCTCCATGTTGACTACTAGCTGCTTTGTATCTTCAGCACAGCACACAGCGATTTTATTCTTAAATATTGTGATGATGACTCTGGTTGTGATCAGTGGCATTTCTGGCATGAGAACCCTAACCCTAACGTCTCAGCAGCTTTATGGTGAAGCCATGCATGGACTCCATTGTGTTTCAATAAGCGGCCACAATAAAGGGAACAAGCAGGCGTATTTTAAAGCAAATGGAAGACGAGAGTCTCCAGGTGGAAAAGGTCCTGCAGGGATGAAGAACCACTTCTTTAATTATTGCATCAAGATGGCTGCTGGTTCTGGTTTGTGTTTACTCCTCCATCTGGACCAGGACGTCCTGGAAGAAGAAATGTTCTGTCCCAGTCAGACCCTCCAGGTTAAATAAAGGCTAAATTAATCCAATCAGAGCTCAAAGTCATGCAGTCAGCAGCTTCTCCTCCATCATGATGAACATCCTGTGGTTGTTTCTGATCAGTTCCTCTGGTTCAGAAGGGTCCAGTTATCCATCTGCATCATGAAATCAAAACCAGTTCAGAGATTGTTGGGAAAACTGTTCAAAGCAGCTGATTAAAAGCTGGAAGGACAGTTCTGAACCTTCATCTTTGAGGAAGAAACGTGGCTGAAAAAGTCCTGAATTCTTCTGGTTGGAGATCCGTTGGATGTTAAATGTAATAAAAAGTCACGAGTCAAACTCCCAGAGATGTTTCTGAGCAGAACGAGACTTTCTACAGACACAATGTCTTTGAAGAGCCATGGAGGAAATGATGCTGGGAATGTGATCCTACAAAATAAAAGCATGTGACTTGTTTTCAGTATTTAACACAGAGTCTCTGAAGGTGAATTATGATGTCAGGAACTTTTTCCAGAAACCGGCAGATTTACTTTGTTCCTTCTTTGTACATCAAACATGCAGCGGCTGAAGATGATGGAGTTTAGATTTCTGATCATCTGAGAGGATGTTACAAACATTAAAGATCCAGTGTGGAGAATTTACTGATGTTCATCTGAAATGGTTTCATCAGAGATTTTCTCACGGATTGATGTGATCTGAGTTACAACATGTTTGTGTTTCAGAGGTCAGAACCACAGATGGAGAGCAGAACCTCCAGAACCCAGCTGTCTGTCTATGAAGAGTGACTGGTCCATGATAAAACCTCCAGACTTCAGTGAATCTGGACCTTCAGACACAAAGTAAGAAAAGTGTTTCTAACTGATCCATTTGACTCCTCAGACAGAAAAACAGGATTTCTGGTAAAACGAGGAACAGTTTTGAGCTGTGTGTGGCTAAAATAACCAGACATTCTGCATTTTTCCAATAGGACTACAAAAAATCTTAGCGAGAAGAAAAAATGGCGGATTGGCTCTGTGTTTAGCCGAGGGCCATGACCGTATTTGGTAGTTATCCTGCCGAAATAAATTTTTTACGTAATCGATAATTTGAAAAACTGAACGGGTGGACAAATATGCCCAAAACTTAATTATTAAATATCTAAATAGCAACTCCAGTGAATAATATAAGCCTTTTTGCTCACTTAAGCCCTTTTCAGATAGACATTCTGGAACATTTATGGACAATTCAATCCGGTTTTAACCGGAACTGTGTTTTCAGACACACCACTTTTGTACCGGAACTTGTCCTTTCGGCTGCGTTCACACAGCAGGGAAAAGTTCCAGATGTCTGACGGAAGGGGGGGTGGGGGTGGGGGGATCGAACTCATGTTAAGAAGAAGAAGAAAATATCATTTCTATAGCGCCTCTCAAGATAAAAATCAATAGGCGCTTAAGCATAATTCTGCGCACACGAAGACGCATAAGAGACCTGGATGATGAAGCTCAATGGTTAAAGGAATCACTGAAGCAGTGTGAAGCGCTCTGTCGCGTGTCAAGGCGGTACCGTAGGAGGCGAGCTGCCGTGGTTCGCCGCCGCATGCTACAGGAGCGAGCTATCTAGGTGCGCACAGCGTCCCCCGGTCCTCTCCTCCTCCCCCTTGTCCGGAACTCTACCTCACCAGTCTGAAGCAGCCACCTTGTCCGTAACAAGTCTGGACCTGTTACTAGGGGCTTCGTCCGGTTAAATTCCGGAACACGTTATCCGGATGTTTGTATTCAGACACAAAGGTCTTACGGACAGAGTCCGGAACATTTAGGTTTTTCATGGCCTGTCTGAAGGGGGCTTTAGACACTTAAAATGTGAAACACACTGTGTTAATGGATAAAAAAGTGGGTTTTTCATGTTATGTCTCCAAATGGAAGACGAGAGTCTCCAGGTGGAAAAGGTCCTGCAGGGATGAAGAACCACTTCTGTAATTATTGCATCAAGATGGCTGCTGGTTCTGGTTTGTGTTTACTCCTCCATCTGGACCAGGCCGTCCTGGAAGAAGAAATGTTCTGTCCCAGTCAGACCCTCCAGGTTAAATAAAGGCTAAATTAATCCAATCAGAGCTCAAAGTCATGCAGTCAGCAGCTTCTCCTCCATCATGATGAAGACACATCCTGTGGTTGTTTCTGATCAGTTCCTCTGGTTCAGAAGGGTCCAGTTGTCCATCTGCATCAAGAAAACAAAACCAGTTCAGAGATTGTTGGAAAAACTGTTCAAAGCAGCTGATTAAAAGCTGGAAGGACAGTTCTGAACCTTCATCTCTGAGGAAGAAACGTGGCTGAAAAAGTCCCGAATTCTCCTGGTTGGAGATCCGTTGGATGTTAAATGTAATAAAAAGTCACGAGTCAAACTCCCAGAGATGTTTCTGAGCAGCACGAGACTTTCTACAGACACAATGTCTTCGAAGAGCCGTGGAGGACATGATGCTGGGAATGTGATCCTACAAAATAAAAGCATGCGACTTGTTTTCAGTATTTAACACAGAGTCTCTGAAGGTGAATTATGATGTCAGGAACTTTTTCCAGAAACCAGCAGATTTACTTTGTTCCTTCTTTGTACATCAAACATGCAGCGGCTGAAGATGATGGAGTTTAGATTTCTGATCATCTGAGAGGATGTTACAAACATTAAAGATCCAGTGTGGAGAATTTACTGATGTTCATCTGAAATGGTTTCATCAGAGATTTTCTCACGGATTGATGTGATCTGAGTTACAACATGTTTGTGTTTCAGAGGTCAGAACCACAGATGGAGAGCAGAACCTCCAGAACCCAGCTGTCTGTCTATGAAGAGTGACTGGTCCATGATAAAACCTCCAGACTTCAGTGAATCTGGACCTTCAGACACAAAGTAAGAAAAGTGTTTCTAACTGATTCATTTGACTCCTCAGACAGAAAAACAGGATTTCTGGTAAAACGAGGAACAGTTTTGAGCTGTGTGTGGCTAAAACAACCAGTCATTCTGCATTTTTCCAATAGGACTACAAAAAATCTTAGCGAGAAGAAAAAATGGCGGATTGGCTCTGTGTTTAGCCGAGGGCCATGACCATATTTGGTAGTTATCCTGACGAAATAAATTTTTTACGTAATAGATAATTTGAAAAACTGAACGGGTGGACAAATATGCCCAAAACTTAATTATTAAATATCTAAATAGCAACTCCAGTGAATAATATAAGCCTTTTTGCTCACTTAAGCCCTTTTCAGATAGACATCCTGGAACATCTGTGGACAATTCAATCCGGTTTTTAACCGGAACTGTGTTTTCAGACACACCACTTTTGTACCGGAACTTGTCCTTTCGGCTGCGTTCACACAGCAGGGAGAAGTTCCAGGTGTCAGACGGGGGGGGGGGGGGGGGGGGGATCCGACTCGTGTTAAGAAGAAGAAGAAAATATCATTTCTATAGCGCCTCTCAAGATAAAAATCACGAGGCGCTTAAGCATAATTCTGCGCACACAAAGACGCATAAGAGACCTGGATGATGAAGCTCAATGGTTAAAGGAATCACTGAAGCAGTGTGAAGCGCTCTGTCGCGTGTCAAGGCGGTACCGTAGGAGGCGAGCTGCCGTGGTTCGCCGCCGCATGCTACAGGAGCGAGTTATCTAGGTGCGCACAGCGTCCCCCGGTCCTCTCCTCCTCCTCCTTGTCCGGAACTCTACCTCACCAGTCTGAAGCAGCCACCTTGTCCGTAACAAGTCTGGACCTGTTACTAGGGGCTTCGTCCGGTTAAATTCCGGAACACGTTATCCGGATGTTTGTATTCAGACACAAAGGTCTTACGGACAGAGTCCGGAACATTTAGGTTTTTCATGGCCTGTCTGAAGGGGGCTTTAGACACTTAAAATGTGAAACACACTGTGTTAATGGATAAAAAAGTGGGTTTTTCATGTTATGTCTTGTTCTAAAATAAAATGTTTTATTTTATTTTAATTACCTTAAAAGACTCAAAGTCTCTTTTTACACTTTATATTTATTTAGTCAGGATCGTTGTCAAGTCGACGCCAGAAACAATGAAACACAACTTGAATATCAGATGAACAACAAGGCTTTATTCAACCGGCATTCATACAAGTTATCAATCATGAACAAAACATTTCTCTTACCGTTGCTTATGGGTGGAGAGCTGAACACCCCAGTTAGAAAACGTAATCCATGATAGGTGAAGAACTGAACACATGTAATCCATGAACCTCGTCAGGTAGAATCCTTCAAGCAGCTCTAACCCCCTGAGCTCTGCTCTGCTCCTTATACATTCCCTGATGTGCGTGCAAAGCTGCACACCTCCACCAGGATTACCTTGATTACATCCTCATGATCACATTATGTTCGGCTCTACCATGATTACCCTTGATTACATCCTCATGATAAGTGTGATTGACAAACAGTAGTGATCAATAACTTGTATAAAGCAATTATACAACAGATGACAAGTTCATTTTTATTACATGTCTCCAAATGGAAGACGAGAGTCTCCAGGTGGAAAAGGTCCTGCAGGGATGAAGAACCACTTCTTTAATTATTGCATCAAGATGGCTGCTGGTTCTGGTTTGTGTTTACTCCTCCACAAGGGCGTCAGTTTGTTTTCAGAATTGCTGGGGACAATAACCATACACTTGAGTGGGGTTTAAAAATTGCTGGGGACAATAAAGTAGGCTAGCACAGGGGTCGGCGGCTCTGGAGCCGCATGCGGCTCTTCCATCCGGCTCTCTGTGCTTGTAAAATAATGAATGGATATTTAAATAAAATGCTTTATATTTTACTGCATTAATTTTACATCTGTATGCCAATTCTAAATGTAAAGATTGTCTGCGTAAACCTGAACAGGTCCAACCCGGTCTTACTGTGAGACCGGGTTGACGCGTCACGCTTGTGCGTAATCATAGGCACTTTATGAGCTGAAGAGGATGTGAGATTCTGGGATTCTCCTCAGATGGCTCCTGGATGTGTCGCCACATTGGAGACAGGAACAAGCTCTATTCAGCCAAAGTTTCATAATCAGGGAACATTTTCTAAGTGACAAGTCTCTCTGAGAGACCGGGTTTGGAAAACACTCGCTTCAGTGGGAGGAACCTTCCCGCATGCGCTCTGGGTGGCTCTGGGGTTAATCAAGTTTAATTGTTTCTCTTTGCAACAATCTTCACAGGAAGGCAAAACAGTTAAACGGCAGGTTACAGATATTTCCATTTGACTTTTTATTTTGACAGATGAACTCAAGGATGTTGCTTGGTTTGAAAGAATTACCCCGACGCACACTGATGTGCATGGATGAGCTGACATTTTAATCGTTGACGCACATCGCGGAGGTAAAATATTCCCATCAGAACATCAGAGCTTTATACTGGACTGTTCAGCGCGGCTCGGAGCGCCCACGGTGGACAGTGAGCTCAAGATCTGAGGGGTTTGCAGCGCAGAACCACGGTGCATGCGATGATTCCCGCCCACTGAAACAGTCTGGAAACCCAGTCTCTCTGAGGGATGTGTCACTTGGAAAAATGTTCTTTTTATGAAATTATGAAACTGGCTGAACAGCGCTTGTTCCCGTCTCTAATATGGAGACGCATGATGCGTAGAGACATTTGATCACGCACAAAGTTTATGTGGAGCAGAAGCGGTCGGGCCACGGCAGGTGAAATGTTCCTAGCCTACATGAAGTGAAACTGTTTAATTGTAACATTAATATGTTACTGGACACGCTGGTCTGGTTGGTTAGACCAGTGTTTGAAGTGGAAAACACACACACACACACACGCACACACACACACACACACACACACACACACACACACACACACACCAATTAAAATAATGCTGATAGCATGGACTAGAAGCCAGGTGATGGTTTACGTATTTAAATGATGATCAGGCTGCTGTAAAATGTAATCTCCATCCACATCCAGACACAATTATCCTCTATTCTTTCTCTATTTGCTCTGCTCTTGTCTGGGCTGACAGAGCTGATGGTGCGCGCGGCGCGCCTAACTAGCGGCTGATGCACATTTTACGCATTTGGAGAGGTGGGCTGGATGCTGTGCGTTTACTGGAAGATGGTCCTCTTAACGCACGGGTGTAGACTACATATTAATGACAAATGAATGAAAATTAAATTGTGAGTTTTTACTTCATATTTTATAAATAAAAATGACGGGGGAAAACATTTATGACGTCTTTTTAAACTAAATTTTCTAGCGCGACCTGCCTGCTTCACTTAAGTCACTGCTTATTAAGGTCCGTCCAGAATTACCGTGGGAAACGGGTAATAATGGCTCTTTGATGGGAACAGGTTGCTGACCCCTGGATAAGATCTGAGCTGGTAAAACAAAAATCCTCATCAGCAGGCGTTTTTGAAAGTGGGGGGGGGGACAGCTGCCAATCACAAATTTTGCCGGGGACATGTCCCCAGCGTCCCTGGTTAAAATGACGCCTATGCTCCTCCATCTGGACCAGGACGTCCTGGAAGAAGAAATGTTCTGTCCCAGTCAGACCCTCCAGGTTAAATAAAGGCTAAATTAATCCAATCAGAGCTCAAAGTCATGCAGTCAGCAGCTTCTCCTCCATCATGATGAAGACACATCCTGTGGTTGTTTCTGATCAGTTCCTCTGGTTCAGAAGGGTCCAGTTATCCATCTGCATCAAGAAAACAAAACCAGTTCAGAGATTGTTGGAAAAACTGTTCAAAGCAGCTGATTAAAAGCTGGAAGGACAGTTCTGAACCTTCATCTTTGAGGAAGAAACGTGGCTGAAAAAGTCCTGAATTCTTCTGGTTGGAGATCCGTTGGATGTTAAATGTAATAAAAAGTCACGAGTCAAACTCCCAGAGATGTTTCTGAGCAGCACGAGACTTTCTACAGACACAATGTCTTCGAAGAGCCATGGAGGACATGATGCTGGGAATGTGATCCTACAAAATAAAAGCATGCGACTTGTTTTCAGTATTTAACACAGAGTCTCTGAAGGTGAATTATGATGTCAGGAACTTTTTCCAGAAACCAGCAGATTTACTTTGTTCCTTCTTTGTACATCAAACATGCAGCGGCTGAAGATGATGGAGTTTAGATTTCTGATCATCTGAGAGGATGTTACAAACATTAAAGATCCAGTGTGGAGAATTTACTGATGTTCATCTGAAATGGTTTCATCAGAGATTTTCTCACAGATTGATGTGATCTGAGTTACAACATGTTTGTGTTTCAGAGGTCAGAACCACAGATGGAGAGCAAAACCTCCAGAACCCAGCTGTCTGTCTATGAAGAGTGACTGGTCCATGATAAAACCTCCAGACTTCAGTGAATCTGGACCTTCAGACACAAAGTAAGAAAAACAAAGTTGACCAGGTGGAAATGCAGCTCTTATCAGAGCATCAGAAACAGTCTTTACTCTGACTTTCTGTCAGTTTGTTCAGTTGTGATTAATTGAGAGATTTTATTGTTTAGTCTGAAGACGTTTCTCCAGAATCACAGCAGGATGAAAGTTTGTCTAAAAGTTTGAACACATTTAACATTTCATGTCTGAAGTCCTAAATCTGGAGCTCTATACAGGCTGTTTGTTGCCAACAAGAAGCTTCCAGAACATCAGAAAGAGTCCAGTTGGTTCTCAGTCATGATGACAAAATGTCTTCACAGAGGGAGGAAGAAGAGTGCTGTTGGTGAGGAGGACCAGCTGTCCTGCTGTTCTTTGTGTCAGGACGTCCTGAAGGATCCAGTCTCTACCAGCTGTGGACACTGGTTCTGCAGACAGTGCACCACCTCATACTGGGACCAGTCTGCTCCATCAGGACTCTCCTCCTGTCCCCAGTGTGGGAAAAGATCCAGAACCAGAAGTGGACTGCAGACAGCCAATCAGAGCAGCTCAGGACCAGGTGAGACGTTTCTGGTTACCTGTTGGTTTAAAACACGGTGTTTGGTTCAGAATGAAGATTTCAGGGGTCTCATTTATCAAGCTTGCTTACGCACAAAACGGGGTCGGAAAACTGCGTAAGCAACTTTCCACGCAAACTTTGGGATTTATCAAAGAAAACTTAGCGGGAAAATGTGCGCAACTTTAAGTTGACTAAGGACCTGGCTTACACACATTTTGGACATGGAGAGCACCTGCAGTGCTGCTGCTGAGAAGGATACGATTATAAAATCCTGCAGCATTATCACTTGTACCGCTTCATACACACACAGAACAAGCCCCCCCCACACACACACACACACGCACGCACACACACAGCCTGAAGCAGAATTAGACAGAATGTCATGCATCTGTGACAGACTGACAGTGTGAGCGTCCTGTCACCGTGACCTGATTGATCATGCGCCCTGGCTACTTTGCCAGATGAGATCCCTGTTTGGCTGACTGGTTAGCGCCTTTCACCCGGGAGTCTGGGGATCGAATCTCGATCGGCCCATTTTTTTTTATATCCGCCACAGATCTCTCTAAAGAACTCACAACATTGACGGCTTCAGCAACGCTGTGCCACTCCGTGGATTTTCTCTTATTTGTTTTTCAAAAGTACTTCCTTTCATTTCTCCACCTCACCCACAGGTACCTCAATTTCTGCTTGTGAAATAGCGCTTCCTTGATCTGCCTTGATCTACGGTCGCCATGTCATTGGCGGAGCGCTGCAACAGCCGGCTTATGTAAATGCATGAGGTCCACAAGGCACTTTGCATTGACTATTTATGGCAGTAAGTGGGCGTGGTGAGGGCGGGATGTGACCAAAAAGCAGCTGAGAAACTTTCTCGTTAGTCTCTGATTTATGAAGCGGAGATTGCGTGCAGCTGTGCGTACTCCATGTTTGATAGATCACAAACCTACTTGGCGTAGGTACATTATTTTTGCTGAGCTTAAGTACGGTTTTAGTAAGGATTCTACACAATGTTTGATAAATGAGACCCCTGATCTTTATGAAGATGATTCAGATTGAACTACCAATAAAATGTTGGAGGTTCTGCTGCAGCATTCAGATCTGCTCTGTGTCACATTTCTCAGCAGATGTTGGTCTGCAGGAGGTTCTAGAAGAACATCGGCCCAGTCTGAGGAGCAGATGTGAACGTGTGACTGAAGGAAGTGATGAACCAGGAAGTAGAACCCTCCTGAACAGGATCTACACTGAGCTCTACATCACAGAGGGACAGAGTGAAGAGGTTCTTACCCAACATGAGGTGGAGCAGCTGGAGACCGCTTCCAAGACCAAGAGGCTCCATGGTGCTCCAATCAGGTGCCAGGACATCTTTAAAGCCTTACCTGATGAAGACGAAGACCAACATAAAGATAAAGTTAAAGCCATCAGAGTTGTTCTGACCAACGGCGTCGCTGGAGCTGGAAAAACCTTCTCAGTGCTGAAGTTCACTCTGGACTGGGCCGAGGGCTTGGAGAACCAAGATGTCCATGTGGTGCTTCTGCTTTCCTTCAGGGAGCTGAACTTGATCAGAGATGAGCAGCACAGTCTTCTCACGCTGCTCCGTGTTTTCTATCCAACATTCCAGAAGATCCCAGCAGAGAAGCTAGCTGTCTGGAAACTTCTCTTCATCTTTGATGGTCTGGATGAAAGCAGACTTTCACTGGACTTCAGCAGAAGTCAGCTGGTTTCTGAGGTCACACAGAGGTCATCAGTCCAGGTGCTGCTGACAAGCCTCATCAAGGGGAACCTGCTTCCCTCGGCTCTGGTCTGGATCACCTCCAGACCTGCAGCAGCCAATCAGATCCCTCCTTCATGTGTCCACAGGGTCACAGAAGTACGAGGCTTCACTGACGCCCAGAAGGAGGACTACTTCAGGAGGAGGTTCAGTGATGAAGAGCTGTCCAGCAGAATCATCTCCCACATCAAGACCTCCAGGAGCCTCCACATCATGTGTGGAATCCCAGTCTTCTGCTGGATCACTGCTACAGTTCTGGAGAACATGTTGACTACAGAGCAGAGAGGAGAGCTGCCCAAGACCATGACTGACATGTACTCACACTTCCTGCTGGTTCAGACCAAGAGGAAGAAGAACAAGTACCATGAAGGACCTGAGACCAGTCCACAGGAGCTGATGGAGGCTGACAGGGAGCTTCTTCTGAAGCTGGGGAGGCTGGCGTTTGAACATCTGGAGGAAGGAAACATCATGTTCTACCAAGAAGACCTGGAGCAGTGTGGTCTTGATGTCTCAGAGGCCTCGGTGTACTCAGGCGTTTGTACAGAGATCTTCAAAAGAGAGTGTGTGATGTTCCAGAAACCAGTCTACTGCTTTGTTCATCTGAGCGTTCAGGAGTTTCTGGCTGCAGTCTACATGTTCCACTGCTTCAGCAGCAGGAACATGGAGGTGATGAAGAACTTCCTGGGAGGAGACTACAGAAACTCATCTCTGGAGGACTTCCTGAAGAGAGTCATGGAGAAATCCCTCAGCAGTGAAAACGGCCACCTGGACCTGTTTGTCCGCTTCCTTCATGGCCTCTCTGTGGAGTCCAACCAGAGACTCTTAGGAGGTCTGCTGGGTCAGACACAGATCAGTCCAGGAACCATCCAGAGAACCATCAACAACCTGAAGGAGATGAACAGTTATAAAGTCTCTCCAGACAGAAGCATCAACATTTTCCACTGTCTGATGGAGATGAAGGACCTCTCAGTTTATCAGGAGGTCCAAAAGTTCCTGAAGTCAGAGAACAGATCAGAGGAACTCTCAGAGATCCAGTGTTCAGCTCTGGCCTACATGCTGCTGATGTCAGAGGAGGTTCTGGATGAGTTGGACCTGCAGAAGTACAACGCATCATCATGGGGACAACTGAGACTGATTCCAGCTGTGAGGAACTGCAGAAAGTTCAGGTGAGTCCAGATGTGTTGATGAGCATCATCAGTCAGTAGTAGTTATTAGAGCTGCGCAGTTTAAACAGAAAAATCACTTTAGTGAATGAAAAAGACGTCAAAGTGAATCAGAAGGTTTAGAGTCTGATTGTGGACAGATCAACAATCTCTGCTGCCTCCTTCTGCATCAGAGCTTTGTTGAGGGTGAACTTGGTTTATTTGGTTCCTTTTTCAAGAACAAACAACAAATCCATCACTGCTTTCTGGTGAAGTGTGTCCACACACACCTCACTGTTCCACATCAGAGCTCTGAATCCCAGTCCTGCTAAATCTCTGATGTTGTGGACTTTGAAAGCTGGACATCAGCAGCATGTTCCTGCGTGTGCACCTGAACAGTTGGAGCTGACAGGAACTGGAAGCAAAGAGATCATCTTTCCAACTGGACCTGTTCACTGAGCTGAACTCAGTCTAAAGGTTCTGAGCTCAGATGGAAACTAGAAAAGAGTCCAAATGTTTTCCTACAGCAGACGTGTTGATTCTGACTCTGGATCAGATCCTGCTGACAGACTGTGGACATGATGGAAGCAGAAATGGAACGCCATGTTCCCTCCTTCATCTGCAGATTAAAGCTAAACTAAGATTCTCATTAAAAGTCTGCAGGTGTGAAAGAGACTGAACAGATTCACGGGCTCATGTCAGACAGTCAGATGGACCAGATGAAGCACAGATGCGAAGAGCAGATGTTCATGAGATGATGACATCACTGTTTAGTCATCATCTGATTTCAGGATGTTTATCAGACAGATTCTCTGATTTTATTACAACTGACTTGAACTTTTCTCTCATCACAGATCTGGTGATTGTTCTGGACTCTCAGAGACTCACCTTGAAGTTGTGTCCTCAGCTCTGAAGTCCAACCCGTCCCATCTGACAGAACTGGACCTGATTGTGAACTTCCTGTCTGATTCTGAAATGAAGATTCTGAGTTCTGGACTGGAGAGTCCAAACTGTAGACTGGAGGTTCTGAGGTCAGTTCACTGCAGCTGTTGGAGGTTTTCTGTGTTTAACCTTAAATAGTTTCTGGACACGTTGGGGGGGTCAAATATTGAGATCATGTGACCTGATGCCAGCATTCAACAATGGCCGTGTTCGAGTTGAGCAGCGCCTCGCCTGGAAAAGAGACGAGAGCAGACGGACGCAGCAGGGGGAGTGGCTGAAAGCCGGCGTTTACGTCGGACAGATTTCCCTATATGTGTCGCTCGCAGGTGACGATGGCTGAAGATATCACGTTAGCGTTCACACTTGTTTAATTTTACATTTTAATTCTGGTGCTTGTTAGCAACTGACACACATGCTTGTGGACATCATATATTGTAGACATGTGCATGTGAAGATATGACTGTAATAACAAGTAAAGGTTAGCAGCTGTAGGGTTTTAATAGGAAACGTGACAAAAGAACACAAATCACATTTCTCTTTATGGCCTATATAGTTGTCATCATCAACGTAACATGATTTACAGAATACATGTGACCAACTAACATTTTGCGTTCTATCACTGGATGTTTTGCTCAAAATGGGAACCAATCAGATCTTAGATCAGGTGAGAGCCAGGCATTTCCCATCATGCCCTAGGTTTTACAGCCAGTGGAGAGCAACTGCAGCGCCTTGCTCCAAAATCTGCGACCGCCTTGATCTCACGAGGTTATCGTTGGCTACGGTGGCGACAGTGGCACAGGAGTTAAGTGCTCGCCCCGTAATCGGAAGGTTGCTTGTTCGAGTCCCGCTCAGTCTGTCGCTGTCGTTGTGTCCTTGGGCAAGACACTTAACCCACGTTGCCTGCTGGTGGTGGTCGGAGGGACCAGTGACACCAGTGCTCGGCAGCCTCGCCTCTGTGAGTGTGCCCCAGGGCAGCTGTGGCTACATTGTAGCTCATCCCCACCAGGGTGTGAATGTGTGTGTGAATGGGTGAATGACTGATTGTGTTGTAAAGCGCCTTGGGGGGTTCTAGGACTCTAGAAGGCGCTATATCAAATACAGGCCATTTACGTAGGCATGACGTCAGAGCAAGTCGGCGTCAAGTCGGACACGAATCTAACCGGCATGCACTGCTCGCCGATCACCGGTGATCTAATCTGTGCAGAACTGGCTCATCTGGAACACGGCCAATATCCTCATTAGAGCTGTAGCGTAGTGTAGCGTAGCCAGGGGGTGCGCCATAGAAATGTTACACACATCCAGATAAATTGTAGGTAGTGCAAATAGTTATAGTTTTTCAAGCTTTTTTATTTAGTGATCCACTAATTTTATGTAAGATTCCGCTACCAGATTCTCTTCCTGTTTCGCCCGCGTTCATCTCCCGGCAACAGACAACAACCTCCGGGGTCAAAGGCGCTGCCTCGTCTCTATGGCAGATGTAGAAAATCACCTGGAATAGCCCCTTCATATCATAAGGAATCTTCTTTCAGACGTCAGGAGAGCTGTTCTTGTGGTAGCTGTCTCTCCTCTGCGCTGGTTAGTGTGCTGGGTCTTTTTGGTTTATTTCTACGTGGTAACTTGTGCTTAACGTTGGTAAAGCTACCAAAGCTTGTGTTTGCATAAACTGTAACGTTTTGGTCTAGAGTTGGTCTTTTGTGTGGTGTAGATCTCCCTTTTGGATGCATTTAGAGCGCTGTGGGCTTTTGATTTAGTTAAAATATCACCTTGAGTTTGGTTTGACCACCCAGTTTAGAGTTTGTACCTTTTGAGATCCTTATTTTGATCTAGAACCCAGTAGTGTTTTCCCAGTGGAACGTCTTTAACACTAGTTATTTGTACTTTTGTTTTAATTCCTCACAGCCCGTATTAGTTTTGTTTGTTAGTATTCCCAACCTGTGGGTGGAAAGATTGAAGTTTCTTTGTAAATAAACCTGATCATCGTTTTAACTTTTAAATCTTCTGTTATTGTCCCTTCCTTTATGCACACGAGCCAGACTCTCCAGGAAGGGTCGTAACACCACTCGCCACATACACAAGAGTGACAAAAACAAGCAGCATGGAGAAAGAAACTCCGTCTCCAACCACCTCTCAGGCTCAGCAGCCGGCACTCTGAAGCTCCACACGTCACCAGAACACAACCCACCGCAACACAATAAAAGCAATGTTATACAAAATGGAAGGCCTGTAGTGTTTATTCTCTAACAGGACCAGTTTATTACATTTTTGGGGTATTTATTTGAGATTCTCTGGTTTTTATTAATCGTGCAACAGAAAACTAGTCGTTAGATTAATCGTCTAAATAGTCATTAGAATATATTTGGTGTGTTTTTACTGTGTTTAGTTTCTAATTCCATTTTTGGTTCTTTTTAAAACACAGGAAAGGTTTTTCTTTACCTCGCTGACGTACGTTTCGTTTGTCGACTGCAAAACATCCTCAGAGCTGACGCTGATGGTGGCGTCACTTCCTACTCCGTTTATCCGCGGGCAGCAGAGGACGTTGTCGCCCTCGGCTGCCCGCTCTCCCCTCTCCGATGATGCAGTCCCATGCGCGATCCAATGAGTAAACTCCATCGTCTCTGATCATGGTCCCACATCCACGTCTCCTTATCTCGATAGCTTCTTTTATCCATCTTTTGTATTTTTGTTGTTCGGTGTTTATGATCCTTGTGTTGTCCCAGTCCATTACATGGTTTTCTCTTGTGCAGTGATCTGTTACGGCTGACTTCTTTATTGTACTTTCTGCTTCATGTTTTGCTGCTCTTGTGTGTTTTCGACTTGTTTCTTTCTCACACTCCTTTCTATGTTCTATTGTTCGTGTGTTGAGTTGGCGTCCGGTTTCTCCTATCTATGTTTTATTGCAGAGTTTGCATGGGATTTCGTAAACGACTCCACATTTACGTCCAGCTGGTATCTTGTCTTTTGGGTGCACTAGTCTGTTTCTAACTGTTGCGTATGGTTTTGTTGGTGTGTTTATGTTGTGTTTTTCATTGTTGCTCTTATTTTATCCCATCAGTTGTGCCATGTCATCTGCTGTGAGGTTTGTTCTTTTGTGTAAAGTCTTGTCCTGTCTGATTCTGTTAACTACTATGTCTATGGTTTTTTGGGTTGGTGTTTTTGTGAACAAGGATGTGACGACTTTAGTTTATTTGGGATTAAAAGCAGGCTGTGGCTCATTTTCAGAGTATTTGTTTCATTTGGTTTAATGCGATCATAAAGGGCGTGTTGTCATTTCTGATTAATAACAGAAAAATAAAATTATTAATTTAGTTTAAATTATTTAGTTCATGTTTCTGTTTTAACCTGCATCCTGTTGGCTTCAGCTCACTGCTTTTATTCTTTATTCAGGTTGAGGAGATGCTACTTGTCAGAGATCAGCTGTTCTTCTCTGGTCTCAGCTCTGAAGTCCAACCCGTCCCATCTGACAGAACTGGACCTGAGCTTTAACAGCCTGTTTGATTCTGGAGTGAAGGAGCTCTGTGGTTTCCTGGAGAGTCCAGACTGTAGACTGAAGGTTCTGAGGTCAGTTCTCTGCAGCTGTTGGAGGTTTTTCTGTGTTTAACAAACTAAAATCATTCACTCATTCTTCAGAATTAAATCATTTATAAATATTTTCTTCATGTCAAACATTTAAATTTTTTTTATAACTTTCCAATTTTTCCAAAAGTTTAAATAAACATCTTAGAACAAAAACAAGTTTCTGTTTGAACCTTTAAATAACTTTTACTGAATAAAATATTAAACATCAGTTCATCATGGTTTTGTGTTTCTGACTTAATAAAATAGATGAATTGTATTTAAATGGTTTAGTTCAGTAGGTCTCTGCTAGCAGCAACTATTGATGGGGTGTCTGGAGATAGAATATAGCTGAAATATGGAGGAAACACTATTGCAGGATGTTTAACTGTGTCAATAGTGAAAGGTTCAATATTCACTACAATTGTGGCCTGATTGTCTGAGCTGATGAAGTCCGTCTTGCTACTGAGAAAAAGTCATTAAACAAAGCGTGTGGCCTTGAGCAGTTCTCAGCAGAGCACATGTAGTATGCTAGTGGAAGAGTCCATGTGTTCCTCTCATTGTGCTTTACTGGTTTGTTGAAGCGTGCTATCTGACCTGATCACATGGTATCAGTTCTTTTACTTCCTGTGGTGAAAGAAACAACTGGAAGAATATCCTGCATGGATAAAACAGGCCAGTTGCCCTGGCAACGGTTGTCTAAAGTGTTTGAGCAGATTCTGCTGGAAAGACTTCAAGAGTCTATAGCAGCAACTGATCATCAGTGTGGTTTAAAAGTCAGCGTAGTCCTGACTTATGTATCTGTGCTCTAAAGGAAACTGGAAGTACGTCTCTGAGACAGAATCCATCGGTTTTTATGTGTTTTTAGACGCCTCCAAAGCCTTTGACAGAGTTCATCAGCATAAACTGGACCTACAACTACAAAGTAGAGGCTCCCCGCTGATAGAATCAGGATTTAGCATTTGTGGTCCTCTCACTAACTGATGCAGGTTCAGTGGGGAATGGAAGTCTCTGAAGCCTTCACTGTATCTAATGGAGTCAGACAAGGTGGAGTCTTGTCTCCTGTCCTCTTTAAGCTGTACCTTGATGTCTGATGCTCTGAATGATCGCTAGACTGGGTGCTTGGTGGGCCACCTCCTTGTAAATCATTGAATGTATGCAGAAGATCTCGTCCTCTTGTGTCCCTACAGTGCTGGCATGCAGCAGCTGCTAGCTATGGTGAACAGTGAGACATCATGTTGAACCCTAAAAAGAGTCTTGTCATGATTGCTGCAACTAAAGAGGATCAGAAGCTGAGCTTTCCATCTTTTATTTAATGAACCAAGTCCTGGATGTGGTGAGAAGTCAGATATGTGGGGCCATTCTAAGAAGTGATGTGTGTGATGATGAGGATGTAAGGAGACAGTGCTGTAAGCCGTACCTGCAGGCTAACACTCTGGTACAGTAACTGTGGCATGTGCTCAGACCAGGTTAAAGTGGCCCTTTGTCCTTCCTCTTGTACTCCCTTCTATACGGCCCACTTGTGCTGCACTTAAAGGCAGGCTGGAATGAAGAAACTACAAGTAGCTTATCAGGATGCATTTAGAATCCTCCTTAGGCTCCTCCCACCATGGACTTCTGCAGGTCAGATGTTAGTCAGGAGTAACGTCCCTACCTTTCATGCACTACTGAGGAACTACATGTAGAAATTCATGCGTGGTTTGAGTTTGTCAGCTAACATTGTAGTCGGAGCCTGTCAGCTTTAACATAGAGACACGAGGTATTCCTCAGGCCTTTTAAACACTGGAACAACTGCCTTTATGCTTTGTGATGGGAATGTGTTTGATTTGTTTTACACATTTTATACTTTTATTGTCTTTGTTTATTTTATTTATTATTTTATCTTCGGTGTCTCGTGATATGGACACATTTTTATTTTTTATTTTTTCTTATTTAATACAGTGTGGTCATTTGATGTTTTTTACCTTTGGCTGGCACGTTTCGGCCGGAACATCCGCCTTAGTCAGAGCCGCCAGCTGTTCGTGGCGTCACTTCCGTTTTTGTGCGGGCAGCAGAGGACGATGTTGTCCTCTGCTGCCCGCACATAATTATGAACCAAAACACAGAACGAACATTCAGAAGAGTTTTAGAGTTTCATTTAGTTCATGTTTCTGTTTTAACCTGCATCCTGTTGGCTTCAGCTCACTGCTTTTATTCTTTATTCAGGTTGAGGTTCTGCAGCTTGTCAGAGATCAGCTGTTCTTGTCTGGTCTCAGCTTTGAAGTCCAACCCGTCCCCTCTGACAGAACTGGACCTGCGTGAGATCATCCTGTCTGATTCTGTAGTGAAGGAGTTCTGTGGTTTCCTGGAGAGCCCAGACTGTAGACTGAAGGTTCTGAGGTCAGTTCTCTGCAGCTGTTGGAGGTTTTTCTGTGTTTAACCTTAAATAGTTTCGGGACGGGGGGGGGTCAAATATTGAGATCATGTGACCTGATGCCGACATTCAACAATGGCCTTGTTCGAGTTGAGCAGCGCCTCTCCTGGAAAAGAGACGAGAGCAGACGGACGCAGCAGGGGGAGTGGCTGAAAGCCGGCGTTTTAAGTCAGACAGATTTCCCTACATGTGTCGCTCACAGGTGACGATGGCTGAAGATATCACGTTAGCGTTCACACTTGTTTAATTTTAAATTTTAATTCTGGTGCTTGTTAGCAACTGACACACATGCTTGTGGATACCATATATTGTAGACATGTGCATGTGAAGATATGACTGTAATAATAAGTAAAGGTTAACAGCTGTAGGGTTTTAATGGGGAATGTGGCAAAAGAACACAAAACACATTTCTCTTTTTGGCCTATATAGATGTCATCATCAACGTAACATGATTTACAGAATACATGCGACCAAGTAACATTTTGCGTTCTGTCACTGGACGTTTTGCTCAAAATGGGAACCAATTGTCTAGGAAGACCCGTGAAGACGCCAAACACAGAAAAGTAGATAAAAACATCTTTTATTTGCTGCAGAGTTACCAGGTGGGTGAGGCTGGAGACAAGAGTCGGAGACAGGCGATGGTCGTAAAGGCAGGCAGCGTAAAAGGCAGGGGTCAGGAGAAAAACGAGGTCCGGAGGTAGAGATCAGGCAGGGTGGATGGCTGGAGATTTTACTGGCAACGGCTTTCAATAATCTAGCAATGACTGGGTAGCTGAATGGATCTTATACAGCAGGAGGAGTAGGTGTGTGTAATGAGCTGAGGAGTCAGGAGCAGGTGAAGTGGATGAAGCTGATGACAGGAACAGGTGGAATGAATGAAGTAGATTGTGGTTGCCAGGGGAAACAGGGCTTGTCAGGAGCTTGGTGAAGGGACCAGATGAGCTGAATGAAGGTTAAATGAGGAGGCAGAGGAGGGTGAAGGATGGGAGTCATGACAGAATAACCCCCCCCCCCCCCCCCCCCCCCCCGCGCTCAAGGGCGGATTCAAGACACCCACAGGAAACCAGAGCTGGGCAGGAGGAGGGGAACCAGGAGGGAGGGCCAGAGCAGGGCGGGAGGATGGGGACCAGGAAAGAGGGCCAGAGCAGGGCGGGAGGAGGGGGACCAGGAAGGAGGGCCAGAGCAGGGTGGGAGGAGGGGGACCAGGAGGGAGGGTCCGAGCAGGGCGGGAAGAGGGGGACCAGAAAGGAGGGCCAGAAGAGTCTGGGGGGCCGGCGACGGGGAACCAGGAGCCGGGACTGCGGGAGTCTGGGGGGGGCTGCAACGGGGAACCAGGAGCCGGGACTGTGGAAGTCAGGGGATAGACACTGGAGGACGAGGACTAAGAGGGGACTCTGCACTACGACTAAGAGGGGACTCTGCACTACGACTAAGAGGGGACTCTGCACTACGACTAAGAGGGGACAATGGACTATGACTAAGAGGGGACAATGGACTATCACTAAGAGGGGACACTGGACTACGACTAAGAGGGGACACTGGACTACGGCTAAGAGGGGACACTGGACTACGGCTAAGAGGGGACACTGGACTACGGCTAAGAGGGGACACTGGACTACGGGTAAGAGGGGACACTGGACTACGGCTAAGAGGGGACACTGGACTACAGCTAAGAGGGGACACTGGACTACGGCTAAGAGGGGACACTGGACTACGGCTAAGAGGGGACACTGGACTAAGGCTAAGAGGGGAATCTGGGACTGGTGGGGACTCAGGGGACTCTGGAGACAGGGACGTAGTCTCTGGGACTGGTGGGGACTCAGGGGACTCTGGAGACAGGGACGTAGACTCTGGGACTGGTGGGGACTCTGGAGACAGGGACGTAGACTCTGGGACCGTTGGGGACGTAGACTCTGGGATTGGTGGGGACTCTGGAGACAGGGACGTAGACTCTGGGATTGGTGGGGACGTAGACTCCGGCACCGGTGGGGACGTAGACTCTGGAGACTGGTGGGGACGTGGACTCTGGAGACTGGTGGGGACGTAGACTCTGGAGACTGAAGGGACTCAGGGAACTCTGGAGATGGGAACTCTGGAGACAGGAACATGGACTGGTGGAGACGGGAACTCTGGAGACAGGGATGTAGACTTTGGGACTGGGGGAGGTGGGAACTCTGGAGACGGGAACTCTGGAGACAGGGACGTAGACTCTAGGACTGGGGGAGACGGGAACTCTGGGGACAGGGACGTAGACTCTGGGACTGGGGGAGACGGGAACTCTTGAAAAGGCTGGACCGGAACCTCGTGGAAGGGCTGAGTAGGATGTGATGCATCCTCCGGGACCACCGCCGAGGCAGGATGCGATGCGTCCTTGGGGACCACCGCCGAGGCAGGATGCGATGCGTCCTCTGGGACCACCGCCAGAGCAGGATCCGGTGCGTCCTCCGTGACCACCGCTGGAGCAGGATGCGATGCGTCCTCCGGGACACCGCCAGTGCCCGAGCAGAATGCCATGTGTCCTCCGGGACCACCGCCAGAGCAGGATGCGATGCGTCCTCCGGGACCACCGCCGGAGCAGGATGCGGTGCGTTCTCCGGGACCACCACCGGAGCAGTATAGGGTGCGTCCTCTGGGACCACCTCCGGAGCAGGATGCGGTGCGATCTCCGGGACCACCGCCAGAGCAGGATGCGGTACGACCTCCGGGACTACTGCCGGAGCAAGATGCGGTGCAACCTCCGGGACCACCGCAGGAGCAGGATGCAATGCGACCTCCGGGACCACCGCAGGAGCAGCATGCGGTGCGGGCGGGTGGTGTTTGGATGGGGGTTGCTGGCGACTGTTCCAGCGTCGTCGTCGGGTGGAGGGAGAGACGGCATCAACAGGGACAAGGGAAAGGAAACCGGATCTGATGGGAGTAGGTGAGTACTGATGCCCCGGGACAGACAGAGTGATTCGGAGGCATGAACAGGACACGAGCAATGGCCAAAGGTCTCCTGCAGACGCCTGGCAAACTCCCAAAAGGACACCGATCTGGACGGACGCACCAAAATATAATCCATAGCCCACACCAGGGCGTTACCACCCAGAATGGATATCATGAACGAGACCTTTTCATGATCCGAGGAAGCCAGGTCCAAATAACGAGCGCAGGCTTCAATATAAGTCCGGCAAGTTTCTGGGTCTCCACAGTATCTGTAATGGAGAGTTGTTGATGTAGTCCAGGATTCTGCTGGATCCATGTCAGGTCAGATGAAAAGTTAAAAAAAAAAATTCCCAAGCACTGGGTCAGCATTGGGTCTAATTTTTTGGCCAGATTATTCTGTCATGAACAGAACTAGGAAGACCCGTGAAGACGCCAAACACAGAAAAGTAGATAAAAACGTCTTTTATTTGCTGCAGAGTTACCAGGTGGGTGAGGCTGGAGACAGGAGTCGGAGACAGGTGAAGGTCATAAAGGCAGGCAGCGTAAAAGGCAGGGGTCAGGAGAAAAACGAGGTCCGGAGGCAGAGATCAGGCAGGGTGGATGGCTGGAGAATTTACTGGCAACAGCTTTCAATAATCTGGCGATGACTGGGTAGCTGAATGGATCTTATATAGCAGGAGGAGTAGGTGTGTGTAATGAGCTGAGGAGTCAGGAGCAGGTGAAGTGGATGAAGTAGATTGTGGTTGCCAGGGGAAACAGGGCTTGTCAGGAGCTTGGTGAAGGGACCAGGTGAGCTGAATGAAGGTTAAATGAGGAGGCAGAGGAGGGTGAAGGATGGGAGTCATGACACCAATCAGAACTTAGATCAGGTGAGAGCCAGGCGTTTCCCATCATGCCAGGTTTTGCAGCCAGTGGAGAGCAACTGCAGCGCCTTGCTCCAAAACCTGCGGCCGCCTTGATCTCATGAGGTTATCGTTGGCTACGTAGGCATGACGTCAGAGCAAGTCGGAAACAAACCTAACCGGCATGCATTGCGCGCTGATCACCGGTGATCTACTCTGCCCAGAACTGGCTCATCTTGAACACGGCCAATATCCTCATTAGAGCTGTAGCGTAGTGTAGCGTAGTGTAGCGTAGCGTCGATGACGTCAGCGACTTGATTCTAAAAATTCTACAACGTAACCCAGTAGTGTTTGCCCAGTGGGACGTCTTTAACACTAGTTATTTGTACTTTTGTTTTAATTCCTCACAGCCCGTATTAGTTTTCTTTGTGAGTATTCCCAACCTGTGGGTGGAAAGATTGAAGTTTCTTTGTAAATAAGCCTGATCATCATTTTAACTTTTAAATCTTCTGTTATTGTCCCTTCCTTTATGCACACGAGCCAGACTCTCCAGGAAGGGTCGTAACACCACTCACCACATACACAAGAGTTACAAAAACAAGCAGCATGGAGAAAGAAACCGTCTCCAACCACCTCTCAGGCTCAGCAGCCGGCACTCTGAAGCTCCACATGTCACCAGAACACAACCCACCGCAACACAATAAAAGCAATGTTATACAAAATGGAAGGCCTGTAGTGTTTATTCTCTAACAGGACCGGTTTATTACATTTGTGGGGTATTCGTTTGAGGTTTTCTGGTTTTTATTAATCGTGCAACAGAAAACTAGTCGTTAGATTAATCGTCTAAATAGTCATTAGAATATCTTTGGTGTGTTCTTACTGTGTTTGGTTTTGTTGGGTAAATTATGGATACATTATTTTAAACGAAACTCATCCAGCTTATTCTTCCCTGGCAACAGACAGGCGCTTGACCTTGCCTCTTCCCAGTCCTAGCTTATCAGTAAGAACGCCCTGTGCCAGCGCATGGTTGTCTCCCTAAATGTGTGTGCGTTTTATCATTTCAATGTGTCTTTTAATAAATACTCTTGGGAGGGCTTTGGTCCGACGAGAGAGCAAAGAGACCATCGACTCGTGTGTATCATTTTATCTCTCTCTCTCCACTTTGGAAAATCTAAATGGTTTTTAATTAATAAGATCAA